TACCTTGGTCGGCTCCCTCACGCACGTCCACATCTCAGCAGTACCTTGGTCGGCTCCCTCACGCACGTCCACATCTCAGCAGTACCTTGGTCGGCTTCCTCACATGGGGCTCCATCACTGCCCAATGCCTTGGTAACAGGGCATTATGCACCATCCACTTTTGTCCTGTGATAATGTGCCTCCATTTCTTCCCCAAGCTAATCACCTTTGAGACTGACTGTTCCATCATTTACTATTTGATACCTACCACACTTTTACCCATAACTGGAAAGTTTTAAGCCACCCCACCCATAAAATTACTTATGTTACAGGCCTCAGTTTCCCGGGGGGGTTTTAAGTAGGACATAACGGAAATGACAGGGAAGGTAGGACCTGGACGGCTCCCCCAGAAGACATACAGGGGCTGTTAATTGTACCTAGGAACAGAAAAAATAGTAACACTAAACCAAGTAGAGATTAACAAATGGAAACTTCAAGGAAGCCAGGGGCAAATTTATGACTAAACCCAAGGCTGGACAAAAGGCCAAACTACCCCGAATGCAGAAACAAAAGGTGGAGAAGCCAAACGAATGTCTCCTGCAAGCCTGCTTATGAAAAATGAAAACGAAAAAGCAAGCACAAAACAAAGGACAGTAACAATGTCAGGATAAACGTCCAGAAATGAATACTCACCACCGAAAATGGACAAGAGCACAGCAAAACATGAGTAGGAGGAGGTCAGGGCCGGGGGGCGAACGATCAGACAATAGCAAAACACCTTCAAAGGATGAAGAACTGAAAAGGTGCCATTCTCTATAAGAACAGTCACTTTGCTTTTTACTTTCTTCAACTATACATCTGTAAAACAAAAACAACCTGTAAAAATATTTACGTTACTCATGAAGTAACAACACTACAAGTTGCACAAATATACAAATATCTATCTAGAAATATATAAATATATATCCACTGAGGGGTTCTGGAACCAACCCCTAGTCAAACAGGGTGCAAGGCCGGGGTACGCCCCGGACGGGACGCCAGTCCATGGCGGGGTGCAAGGCCGGGGTACGCCCCGGACGGGACGCCAGTCCATGGCGGGGTGCAAGGCCGGGGTACGCCCCGGACGGGACGCCAGTCCATTTCAGGTTCATATATGCACTGGCAATCATGCACTATGGGCAATTAGCCTTACTGCATGATTTCGGACTGCAGGAGGAAACTCAACACATACAGAGAGTAGGTGGGATCTGAACATGCACACTGCACACATGATGGAGTGATGTGCAGCTCTGTGGGCACTGTGCCTGTGAACGGGAGGTCACTGGTTCAAAACCCTTGGCTGGCAGAGTGACTTTACCATGACACACTTGAGCAAATCCCTTTACACTGAAAACTCCAGGGACTGTCTGACCCTGTTCTCTGATCTTCATTTGTATGTCGCTTTGGACAAAGTGCATCTGATACATAAATCTAATATAACAACACTCATACTGCTAATTTCTGGCAAAAAGGCTGGTGTGATTTGAAAAGAAAAAGTAAAAAATGCCATTTCTGAATTGTGCTTTACTCCCTTAAAATAGGATCTAAGGCTACCATCAAACCACATCCACTTTCATTTTGCAGGCATGATTTTTGGTTTCGACAGCTTCCACCCCAAGAGTTCTAGCCGTTCCCCTTCCGAATAAATCTGCATAATTTATCCCAGATTATCTGTAATTTATGCAGGCCTCTCCCCTCCACTTGTTAGACCACATGCTGTCAGGGCAGCTAATATAACTGCTTTGACACCACCGCGATCTTTGTGTCTCCCTGTGTGTCCCCAAAACGTTTACTCCTTTTCAGGGATTTTACTTGAACTCCGGAGCATTCTGCTCTCGTAAAAATATTAGCGACACAGCAGGTAGACTCTCCAAGCACAAACAGAACAATTCCATTGCCAGACCAATTCAAAGCCGTTTTAACAGTGCAGATAACACCACACAGACACAAACAGGATAAAGACTTTCGGTCCGTGCTTCTTTCATTGGTTAAGACAGGAAGCCACATCATCTTCTCGAAGCCAGAGGCAGCGTCCGACTATGCAGGACAATGTAGGAGCGATTTCCACCCCTTGCACTGACAGGGATGCAGTGGGGAGGGCGGACAATGGCAGGGGTCTGATTCAGTGTAGCGTGTTTTGTGCTGGTACACGCCAGAGTGGACTGTAACAGAATAGGAATGAAATGCATCGGGATGCCTATTGTCGGGGAAACAAGGCAACAGGGAAACTGAGAACCGCCACTGGAGTCACTGAAAGGTGGAGCAGGAGAGGAAAGACCATCAGCGAGGCATCTCCATTGTAGCAGGACAGAGCACTGCTCACAAAAGCCCAAAGATGCCTTTGAAGGCTCACTGTTGACAAATCACTGATTGTTTTCCTGAGTAATCAAACTGAGGGCCTTATGTTCAAAGCCTCAGAGAAGCAAAGTAAGCAGGTTTTAAAGGTCTAAATAAAATAAGAGGTGTTATAGGATATAGGAACATTACGGTAAATTTGCCTGTCACCTGAGGACACGTTCCTGAATGGACGTTCTTTGCAGGTTTTGAATCGCCGAGCGCAGACTTGTTGTTTCTTGCCTGCCATGTGGGACACCGTGCTTCGGCTGAGGCGGCACCGGTCCCGTCCAACACAGGGCGATGAAGACACAAGACTGAGCAACTGGGAGCAGTAAGGATATAACGAACAGTAAACCAGGGTCTTACAGGGAGTCTTCAGTCACACCGTAGTGTTAGAAGGACTGTACCTGCACAGAGGAGGCACTACAGAAACAGCCCCTGGGGAAATTGGGCCCACCGATTGGTTTGAGGCTGAAGCTCTACAGCTGATAGACTATATATAACTACTATAGAAACTTTTGAGCAGTTTCCATGATGCTACATGTATCCTGCTTCGTCCCACGTTAACATTCTGTGTTCACTGACCTCGGATCAGAGTGCGAGTTACTGGTTACCTGCTTACTTGTTGACACTCAGTCGCACCACAGCACCCCCATGAGGAAGCTCCAGTTATCCAAAAAGCACAGGCCAGAACGGGAGGAATTCCTCGATTTACCAGGGACCAATACGTCAGCGGAATCTCACCTCCTGCCCGGTCAGGGACTGACAGTTTGTCGATACAGACGCCTTTCGATCCGTGTCAAACGCGGCTTATGGGCGTTTTTGGCCTGATCACCGGGGCGGTGATCTATACTGCTGGTGTGAATGTGGGCCACCGGTAATGAGCAAAGTCAAGCCGTCATACACATAGACGCCAGACAGTTTGTGGTGTTTAGTGCATTTACCCCAACAGCTTACAGATCACCGTTTTCATGATGCAGGATCCAAGTTCCATGTCAATGCTGCATTTTAGGGTGCAGTGCATGGCTCAGTGAGTTAGGACTTTGCACCTGTGATCAGAAGGTTGCCAGTTCAGATCCCAGACTTGCCCGAGTAATTTCACCGTTGGACCCTTGAGCGTAGGCCTCTAACCTCTGAAGTACTCCAGGGACTGTCTGACCCTCCCTTCTCAAAAATGTAGGTCGCTTAGGAATAATGCGTCTTCCGAGTAAATGTAAATAAAGCATGTAAATTGAGATTTAAGTACCATATTTCTTTGTATTACTGTATATTCACACACCTTCTCATTCTTCTTGTACAATCTCCGGGTAGGACTGAGACCCTGCTGTGACCGTACCCCTAGCAAAGGACCCAGACGCTCCACTCTGACAAGCAGTGACTGGGAGATAAGAACCACTATGCTGATCTTCCTAAAAAGAGAGAGGAACAGACAGAGCCTGACTGAGGACGATTTGACTATTGAAGGACCGTAAGCCCCACCTGAAACGTCTATTAATTAAACGAAACGTCACTGAGACAATGGGCGATGCTGAGCAAAGGAACGTAGCCTGATTATCTTCACTGCAATACTGTCATTCTTACTGCCAGATAAAGGTCTTGCAGCCACCATCCTGAGCCACGGGGTAGCAGACCTGCAGATCTCAGCAGAAGACCAGCGTCAGCCAGTCATCAAGCTTGGCGGCTGGCCCGCTGATGTCGCACCCTAAGGGGACAGCCATCACAGCTCCCCCTGGAGGACGATCAGGGAGATGACGACGGTGACATATGACACTCGATGCATGAAGACGGGAAGGAGTCAGACAGACCTCCAGTTCAAGATTAAAAACCACTATTATTCATGGATTCATTCACCCATTCAGTCAGTCCTCAGTACTCTACATTTATCCTCCATTCATTCACTCACTCACACTTTGCTACTCATGCAGGTGAAACTAATGCTGAAGTCCAATTTGCTTTGAATTCATGCTAGAATGTAAAACAAAATCACCTGCCAAGACTCGGCCATTTTGGATTTCTCTAGAAAGATTAGGCCTGTTAGGGGAAAAACACAGCAAGTAAATGGCAGCAGACCTGCCTCAAGAGGCCGATCGTTTTAGAAACAGGAATGTCAAGGCCTATCAGCACAGGACAGCTCTGTACTGACAGCAATGTGGAGATTTTGTGAAGCACCTTAGCAGCACTGACAAGGAAGGAAACACTTAAGAGTTTTTCAAGCAAGTCTTTTGTGGGTTTAATTCTACAGTGGAACTGCGAAGACAGACACCATTCTGTCCCTCCAACAATAAACCACATTAAAATGGCTTTAAAGATCATGCAGAATTTCCGGGAGAAATACCCTCCGGGATTCTTGCTTATTTTCTTAATGCATAGAAAAGCATAAACAGGCCATTTTCATGGCAAAACAAAAGACTACCCACCATAATTAATGACAAAAAGGACCTTTGATAATTTCCCCTCCCGCCCATTCCTCCGAAGGGGCGGCACTGAAGGGCTTTCAGATAGTCCTTTCTGAAGGAATTCATCTCCGCGCTGAGAGGCGCCCTTAGACAACAGCCCAGAGTGTGTGTGTTTTTTTTCCTGAGGTGTCACAATGGACTTCCCAGCACTCAGAGAAAAGGCTCTGAATGGAGAGAGCAAATTCAATGGCACTCCTTCCTTGCTGGCCACAATCAGTCACAATAATAAGCTCCTTTCTTGGTGCTTGGGTGTGTATGTGTGTGTCCATGTGTGTGTGCGCGTGCGTGCAGTAATATTTCAATGCAACATAGAACCATCCCCCCCCCCCCCCCCGTCCTGCACGCACGCACCAATAAAAATAACGCACTATAACTTTTACTAAGAATTCAAAGTTGAGGTTTTGGGGATGTGGGGGTGGGCTGGATAATTAGTAAGGCCTCCACACCCCCCACAGGCGTGAGCTCCCATCTTGCGACACTCCACCGAGGTCTATTGTCATCCCACACAGCAGAGCACTGGGAGTCTGAAGGCCTCAGTACTGCCCCAATGCGGAGACTGGGCCCGGTCACCAGGAGAGGGACATTTGCTCAAAGTCACGGACATTACAGCCTAACCACCCCCCACACACACACACACACACTAAAGCTCTAGACCAGAGGTATCAAACTGCAGTCCTGGGGGGCCGCAGCCCTGTGTAGCTTAGTTCTTTCCCTGTTCCACCATAAATGATTCAGCTTAAGAGCTGTGTGGTAATTAGCACAAGGAGCTGAATCAGGTGTGTTAAACGAGGGGAAACCCAAAAATGTGCAACTCGCCAGTGAGCAGCATCTAAAATTTAATTTTATCCTGTTGCTATTCTTCTTTAATCACATTAGCCTTTATATAGATTTGAAAATGGCAATATCTAAAAAAAAAAAAAGCATTTAAAACATGTTTACTATACATGAAGTTTAGATAAGTTTAGGAACGTGTTTCAAGCTGGTAGCCCTTCGTATGGCTCAGTACCCGTGACATAGCTCTCAGTTTCAAAGAGGTTGGTGACCCCTGCACTAGACAGTCTGTCTCACTCCCCCCAGACACTAAAGCCCTAGACAGTCTGTCTCACTCCCCCCACACACTAAAGCTCTAGACAGTCTGTCTCACTCCCCCCACAGACTAAAGCTCTAGACAGTCTGTCTCACTCCCCCCACAGACTAAAGCTCTAGACAGTCTGTCTCACTCCCCCCACACACTAAAGCTCTAGACAGTCTGTCTCACTCCCTCCACACACTAAAGCTCTAGACAGTCTGTCTCATTCTCCACAAATGCACCCTGATACAGGAAAAAATACATACACTGGTGTGGAAAAAATCTATTTCAAAATGTTTGCAGCCACTGATTATCCACCCAGACCTGCACATTACAAGCCTGACAGCAAAACATCTGCATGGTGTGAGAATATTCCTGCTCTGGGCCTCTTTTCTTCCATTTGCCTGTGGAGGTAAATTGGGAGACATGAGGAGACTCAGGCCACAGAAACCAAACCAGCAGGCTCACATCCAGCTCACATCCAGCTGCCCTGCACGCATTCTGTATGGCTCTGTGCTAAATTCAAAACACTTCCACTGGATTCAACTAAATAAAAATAAAATACTCCCAAACACCAAGGAAATATTCATTATCGAGCAGTGAGCTGTCAGCTTCATCGGACATCAACACTTGAATTGAGCTGTTTAAAAAAACATTTCTACATGTATTACCCACAAACATCACCTTTCCCTGTATATACAGAGTAAATTTCTAAATGTAGATTCTGGAAAGAAGCAGTGAGATCTATTTTGTTCGATTCATGCATATTTTCGGACATAATGAAAAATAAAGGAATTATTTTAATGAAACAGGGTAACAACATGACTTCCATATGTCAGCTGAAGATATTCTGCGTGACCACTGACTGCTCTCATTTCAGAAAGATGACATTCCTCATTAAAACAATAGAACGTCCCCATACATGTAACCTTACATTAAAAAATAAAAACCTATTTCAAAATACCACAAATAGCACAAGGATAAATATATAAAACCGTGTACAAAGTGTCAGTGAAGTACTTTTGCATATCATGCAGATACCCACCCGCTTCCAAAATGAAGCAGCACCTGAAAACTTTGGACACTGTAGCGTATGAAACCACCAGAAATGTGACTGTCTCTGAGATGCTGGAACCACCACGTCTAGCACTAACAATCATAGCACGTTCAAACTCACTTGGATCGGTTAGCTGTAAGTGAACTTCTTCACCCTGCCCGTGCGCTTTAAGAATTTGGCTGCAGCCGCATAATTCATACCCAATAAATTTGCAATTAACTATTTATAGAAGCGATTCTCAAAATTTGATCAAAGATCCTAATCAGATTTTTTCCAAAATCAGAGGTGTGGAACAATTTAAAATAGCACAGCATTTCAAGAGCTTCGATGAATTAATAACTTTCACTATAGACATCAATATATAAAAAAATAATGGAAAGTTTTAACGCTCGGTGATCGTTTCAAAATCTGTGTCTGAAATTTTGTTTACATTTTTACGTTAACCATTTTGATTCATAACGTCCATTATCGGCTGGGTCCGCATTCGGACCGCGGTCCGGACGTTAAGAACCCCTGGTTATACAGTTTATGCAATATAACACCAATACAACAGCGACCTCTAGTGTACCACTGCGAAATTGAACATTTAAATACCAAGAACAGTGGAGACAGGAAATTGAAAATTAATGTAATTTAAGTTGTACATCGTTTTGAAGTTACACGATTGGGAGATGGGTGCATAGATTGTTAAAGACTATCGTGTTAAAACGTTGAAAATAAAATCTACATTGTATGACATTCATGAGTACCCATCAATAATAAACACATGATCAATCCTTTATGTGCCATTTACACGGATACGAGGACAGGTACACTGGAATTCTTCTCTTCTTCGCCTGCCCCATCTGGCTCTCCATAGCTGGGGGGGGGGTCACAGCTTAAATGTGATATTGTGATATCAGCATCGCAATCGCAAGTGAACAAGACCACAGTCGCCAGATACAAGTCACGAAGCATAAAAAGAGAGATACTTAAGATATGTATTCTAAAGTGCAGCTGAAAGCAAACTGCCGACTGGAAATACGTGCATAACACAAACGTTAAACAACACGCAAAATTAAGCGTCACACTGAATCCACCGGCCGCGTTAACCTGCCTTTACACGTTTTTGCGTCGAACCCTGCAGATCAGCAGACAACCTGCAGCGGCGAGCTTTGCGCTGCGTTCCAGCGTTAATGCAGTTCATGAATAGCGCCGCTGCGCCGTGTGCTCAGCCGTGCGCATGCGTATATGAAAAGACCTTGGACGCCGAGTCTTCCTAGGGGCGCTTAGATCGTGGAAGTTAAAGACGTGCGGCCGAGATGCACCGCTGGAGCCGTCTGTGCCGCTCGCTGGCCAAGGTAACCGCCAGAGTTACAGGACGACAGCCTTAGCCCCAACCAGCCTGGCGCGCAAAGATGCCGAAGCTAACTGTTTTTGCGCTTTTAAAGCGGAGCGCAGTGACCTGTTTTGAAGGCCTAGCTCATTAGCTGACATGCTAGCTGCTAATGCGCGTCGCTTTTACCCACAACATGCTATATGGAGATATTCTGGCAGCCGGGTTTCACATGCAAGAAAGGGGAAATGTTGCCATCGTTATGTGGCTCGTTAACCGGCTGTAGATACTGACAGGTTCGGCTGGGGGCGCCGGACTCCGCTGGAAGCGGCTACATTTGCTAACTGGTTAAGCTGCTGGGAGCCCTTGCAGACTGCATGGATGGTCAGTCAAGCAGGCGCCTTTGATACCCCCCAGTGTGATAGAAATGCATATGAACAGTGCAGCTGAGTTACTCCTAAGTACAGCATGTGTATCAGTCAGCTTGTGCCGCCCTGCTAACCGCCACTGGGCGCAGTGGTTAGTTACCTTGCGATTATATTCATGTACTGGGTGACTCTGGCAGCGCTCAGGACTTTGCTGGTCTTCGTTTTCTTAGGTAAAATAGCCAGCTCCAACATACTACTGAGGACATTTAGGCTTTCAGACCCCGTTTAATTAGTGTTTTCTGTATATTAGTCTCCATTCACGGTTTCCCGTGTATAATGATGATTGATTTTCACCCTCCGCTCCTCCTCCAAATCTTCACTGTTAATTAAGCGGGGTCACCAACTCCCGTGTAAGCTGCATGGAGCCACCGCGCTGTCTGTGAGGACCTACGCGGACAAGTCTCCAAGTGAGCGCCTCTTTCTCTGCCGCCGTCACTGTGTCTCGCCCCTTCAGCTGCCCACTGAAACTTTACACCCGTGGTTCAGATCTGGCTCTCAGCTTCTCTCTGGTCTCCCCTTGCAGTCGATGCTGACGTCACGGTGGTGGGCTCGGGGCCCGGCGGGTACGTTGCTGCCATCAAAGCCGCACAGCTTGGCTTCAAGGTAACGTGGCCCCTGGCTGAATTTGGCACCACGTTAAAGCAGCCAATCCCCACAGTCTTCCTGGAGGCCACCAGCCAATCCTTGTATTCATTTCATTCCAAAATTCAGATTTAAGAGAACCTGACTCCTGATTGGCTGCATGAGGTGTGTTGGGATGGAGGAAGCAAGCGGATTGGCTAGTGTTCTCCCAAAAGACTGCTGGGAGCCATGGTGTTAGAGCACCATATCATACAAACATATGTTTTATTTTAGACGGTGTGTGTGGAAAAAAATGCCACCCTTGGAGGAACGTGCTTGAACGTTGGCTGTATCCCTTCAAAGGTAGAGTGAACGCACTGATCTTCAGTCTCTCCCTTTAAAGTTGTCATGGGAACCTCTCCGTGAGTTTGACATTCGTTCACGGTTTGTTTTCCAGGCTTTGCTGAACAACTCGTACCTGTATCATTTGGCACATGGAAAAGATTTTGAAAGCAGGGGCATTGAGAGTAAGTAGAAAGTTTTGGAAGGTTGAGTTTTTTCTGTGAAAACGCAGAAACTGTGGGCTAACCCTTTCCAAGGAAAAAAAAAGGAAAGTGAGACTGAAATGCTCCTTCTCTGCTGCGGCACAGTCTCAGGAATCAAATTAAACCTGGAGAAAATGATGCTGCAGAAGAGCGGGGCAGTCAAGGCGCTGACGGGAGGAATCGGACATCTCTTTAAGCAGAACAAGGCGAGTCACAAATGCCTGCGAGTCTTGTGGCTGTAATGGTGACTAGCGACTGAGACATGACAGCCTGTTTCCTGCAGGGTTTCAGGGACAGTTGATCTGCTCTGATTGGGTGTCACTCCTCTGTGTGTTTAGTTCTGTGCTCTCATAGGCTCCTGTTTCCAGGTCACACATGTGAATGGTTTTGGGAAGATAACAGGCAAGAACCAGGTGACTGCAGCAATCGGCGACGGCACTGAGCAGGTCATCAACACCAAGAACATCCTGATTGCTACTGGCTCAGAGGTCACACCATTTCCCGGGATCGAGGTTCGAAACTCTGGCTGGTTAGAAGTTGCTGATCCCAATCCTGCACCCGGGTGGGTGTTTGACACTTTGAGTTTGCTGTGCTACATACCCTGACCCGATATTCCCACAGATTGATGAGGAGACCGTAGTTTCTTCTACTGGAGCACTCTCCCTTACAAAGGTTCCAGAGAAGTTGATCGTGATTGGCGCTGGAGTCATTGGGGTTGAACTGGTACGTGACATTTTCCAGTTACTGCTTCAAAACCGTCACATGTATGGATAAGCCTAGTAATTCGCCCACACTGGGGACTCGTCGTTTCGTTCTCAGTAACCAGGGTGGCGGCTCAAACAAGTAGAACCGCTGAAGACTAACAAACAGAAAGCCTATGGTGCTGAGGCGTGAGAGCGACCTCTAATGGCCGGCTTTTCCAGGGGTCCGTCTGGCAGCGCTTGGGCTCCCAGGTGACGGCTGTGGAGTTCCTGGGTCACGTGGGTGGCATGGGCATCGACATGGAGATCTCCAAGAACTTCCAGCGCATCCTGCAGAAGCAGGGCATGAAGTTCAAACTGGGCACCAAGGTGATGGGTGCCACCAAGAGGCCAGACGGACAGATAGATGTGACGTAAGTCCTTCCTCTGTTCCCCTTATGGATCCAGGTCGCTGAGGCCTTGATGTCTCCTATTCCAGCTCACATCGAGCAGACGTGCTGCTCTCTGGCTCTGTGGGCCATGCTGGATATTTGTTCCAGTGGATCTCCTTGACCTCCACAGAAACTTTGTTTTTGTGTGTCTAAATTATTTGTGAATTGTGGCTTATTTCCCAAAGACACCACGATGGAGCGTCGTAATGCAGGAAATGGAATAGCCTGGATACTCCCATATAGGAATATTTAGTAAGCGCTTGTGCAGTGTTTATAGTGGTAAGTCAGACAGACGGGGTGGGGGGGCTGTTTTCTCTGATGGGCCTTAGTGTCTGCAGGTGTTTACGTTACCTTCCTGTTGTTACCAGGTGATTTTTACATCTAGAGCTGTGGTTCTCAAACTATGGGAAGCTCCCTCTAGTGGTATGCAAAGGTATCCCCTTTTATGGAATCTGGCATAATGGTGCTGTGTGCGGAGTCCAATATTTTGTAAGCTGGCACAGAGTGTAAAAAGTTCATGAACTGCTAATCTAGAGCACTAGGTGAATTCAGGTCCTGTCCTGATTATACCTTCACTACAGCAGCTATGAGATCCAGTGAAGCATGTGGCAGCCTGAATTCAGGGGTCTCCACAGGCGGGAGAAATTAAGCTTTCGGGGCCATAGTGGTTGTGACATCATTGCCATCGATGGGACTGAGACCACCCAGGAATCCCGCCCCCTGCTGGCTCAGAAGCCTAATTTCCCCCATCGCTGTCTGTATCGGCCGCAGCCTGTAGTGAAATAGATTGCTGCGGGACACGCAGTAATGAATGTGGGAACTTCCTGCCCAGCATGGAGGCGGCGGCCGGGGGGAAGAGCGAGACACTCACCTGCGACGTCCTGCTGGTCTGCATCGGCCGCCGGCCCTTCACCCAGAACCTGGGCCTGGAGAACGTGGGCGTCGAGCTGGACAACCGCGGCCGGATCCCCATCGACAGCCGCTTCCAGACCAAAGTGCCCAGGTATTCCTCAGCACAAGCCCCTCCCCCTAACCCCACGCACAGCGTCGCCGAAAGGCTCATTCACCTGGCAGCTTGGGAAGCAGCCACGCCTTTGATCGATGTCGCCCCCCGGTGGTGTCTGCAGCATCTACGCCATCGGGGACGTGGTGGCCGGCCCCATGCTGGCCCACAAGGCCGAAGACGAGGGCATCATCTGCGTGGAGGGCATGGCAGGCGGTGCCGTCCACATTGACTACAACTGCGTGCCCTCCGTCATCTACACCCACCCCGAAGTGGCCTGGGTGGGCAAGACTGAGGAGCAGCTGAAGGAGGAGGTGGGCATGGGGGAGGGGCTGGATGGCGATCAGAACCTCCACGGCATCAGTGTGATTACACCTGCTTTGCACATTAGGGCGGGCTGGGGTTCGACTGCTAGACGCTGACTCTGTTCCATTTAAACCACAAGCACACATACTACACACTTGAGACATATGTTGATGTAAGACACAAAGAGCTCAAGTGCCTGAAAACAATGGGACACACTTGATATCTGAACAGGTGAACAAGAAACACACTACAGCTGTGTTGTCATCTGTGCTGCAGTGACTCATTATGCGCATTTAAATTGAAACTTCTTAGGAGGCATGTTGCACTCTGATTGGCTGACTGATTTCCTCGTGTTCGATGTAAACATTAGCCATCATATATGCTTAACCAAAGGTTTCCGTGTGGAATGTGTGAATAAAGTGCACATTAAGCATGCTGCATTTCGCTTGTGTGAGGAACGGGACACCCTTGGACAAAAATCAGCCATAGGTGGCCCTATGGAAGAGAGAAACAATTTATGCTCAGGCACAAATTTGCAGGGAACGTTGAGCTATTTGTGTCACACAAGGTATTTCACTGATGCTTTCGGTCCTTTAACAACATGATTGCTACATGATGTTCCTCCTCTCCCGTCCGACAGGGCGTCCCATTCAAGGTCGGCAAATTCCCGTTTGCCGCAAACAGCCGAGCCAAGACTAACGCGGACACAGAGGGTCTGGTGAAGATCCTCAGCCACAAGGAGACGGACCGGATGCTGGGAGCCCACATCCTCGGATCGGTGAGTCGCGATCATCGATAACCACTAGGCGGAATAACCAGTCTGTCTGGGGTGTACAAATGGAAACGGAGTAGATTTTCACTCAGGGTGGGAATGTCAGTGAGTGCCAGTGAAGTACCGTGCCTGTTCTGTGGACAGGGCGCTGGCGAGATGATCAACGAGGCCGCCCTCGCTATGGAGTACGGCGCCTCGTGCGAAGACGTCGCCCGCGTCTGCCACGCTCACCCCGTAAGTCACCACAGCGACTCCGCTCCGCTCCTCAGTGCGGCCGTCGGCCACGCCTAATCCCGGCTCTCTCCCGTGCTTCCAGACGGTGTCGGAGGCCTTCCGGGAAGCCAACCTGGCCGCCTCCTTCGGGAAAGCCATCAACTTCTAAACTCAGCACCAAGTCCGCCGGAATTTGCCGCTTGTGGATTTCCATACGTCCCGCCCAGCCATCATCATGGATATGTTGAATCAACAGCGGTTTAGATTATTTAAGTCCTTAACGGGGGTCTGGGTCTTGGAAAACCACTGACTGTAGATCCATATCTATGTATTGCAGCATGTCGCTGCAGATAGAATTTAAAAAAAGCACCTTTTTCATGTTAAGGAAGAATTTCCCTCTCTGATGGTGAGACTCCATCTGTATTACGTGCGAATACATAAAGTAACACCGGAAATGTGACACTGGAGTGCGCGCAGTGCTGGTTTTGATGTACCTTTTACGCTCGGGTTCCAGGCAGCGCTCACACTGAAGCACTACAGAAATAAACGTGCTAAAGTAACCCAGGGAGCTTTGTTAGTTTGGGAGCTTCTGTGATTGGTGACCACTGGGGGGCAGCACAACACTGGCTAATATGACCTTTAGCTGTAGAAAAACAAGTAGTTTTGATTTGTTTAAAAGATCCCAGGGTTCCTTTCATTGGGGGATTATTTTATTTAAATGAAAATTCACACATTTTGGTTTCAGCCTTAACTCAATTTGGCCACAGTTGTTATATTCCAGATACAGAAGTTTAAAAAATTTGGAAGTCTTAGTACACTAATTTTCTCTTTGGTTAAAATGCATTATAAGATTGGCTTTGAAGTCCACATTCTCTCGGCATGTCTGATTCTCGGAGGGTTTGTGAGCTCGGCTAAAACAGGCAGGTGCTGTACATGGTGACTTTGTTGCTGATCTCCTGCAGCAGCTCGCGCACCGACGTCTCCAGCCGCAGCAGCTGGCTGGCCTTGTCCTCCAGTGCCTTTTGGTTATCCTCATAAGACTGCTCTAAGTCTGAAAGGAAACGGGGCCGGGGTGGTAGAAGAGGGAGGCCTGCTTCAGGAGGGGTAGATGTTTTTGTCAAGTTCCTTAATCATTACGCCACTGGTTATCAGTTCTGTATCAGTACTAAAGCTATTAATTGGCACGCATTGTGAATATTTCCTTAAAATGAGTCTTTTGATATCAGGAACTCAGCTGAGCTTTTGCTGTTTGTTGTACTTTGAATATGACAACACTGGGCCCGTTTCCTGCTGGACTGGCCCGATCCAGTTTCAGCAGTACAGAAGATGCATGTGTTTGGTGTAGGAGGATCAGTGTCACCTTTCAGTAACTGCAGCTTGTCCGTGGCCTGTGCCAGCAGCTCCTTGGCCTGCTGCTGAAGTTGCTCCGCCCTCCTCTTGGCCTCGGCCACGCCCCCAGCCTTCTCAGTGATGAGACTCTCTACGGAGCTGTACTTGGGTTTCAGCTCTGTGTCCAGTTCCTATTTGATAATGGAACAAGTCATGTGTCGCAAGAGGACACCGCACTAACACATTCACTGAATATCTGAATCAGACCTAAGGCCGTGCGGTTCACACACACCTTCTGAACCGCTTCTGTTACTTGGCTGATGTTCTGCGTGGCTTTCTCAGCCGCCTCGGCGATGGCGGAGCTGTTCTCGGCCTTCTGCTTAAGCGAGCTGATGTCTCGTTCCAGCGCCATCAACCTCTGTGTGGCGTTGTTCAGCCTGAACTCCGAGACTGCAGTCTCGGACTCCGCCTGGGGGTCGGCATGATGGATATAGTTATAGGCCTTGCTTTGGCGTACACCTGAGCACGGTATTTGGCCCAGTTTCACTTGCTGCTCTGTTACCATGGCAACCAGAAATCCTCCTAAATGTGAATTTATGTCCATTATGTGTTTAGACACCATTGCGCCAGGCTCTGAGGCCACAGGAAGGCAGAGACGCCCTTTCCCCAGCGCACAGCCGTCCTCCCCTGCAGACTAACCGAAACCAACAGGTCCTGGGTTCCCCTGATGTCCGTGGCAGCCTGCTCGATGGCCTTGCTCGCCGCATTTTGAGCCCGCGCAGCCTCCTCCAGCGCCTCCTTCACCATCTCCGCAGTGTCCTTGATGTCTGCCGCCTCTTTGCTGCAATGCGGGTCGGACAGTACAGGAATATGCAGGGGCGGCCAAAACAGTTGTCGGAGAGTCCTGACCTCAGCACCACCGCCTGGTCTATCCGACCCTTCCTCCCATGCCCTCGCCTCCCCCTCGCCTCCCCCTCTTACCTAGCTTGGCGTGCCTGCGCCAGGAGACTCTCGGCCCGCCGGATGTCCTCGGCGCTCTGGCTGAGGACTATCTCCACATCCAAGAGGCTACCCACGCGCTCTCGGATCTCCTCCGTCAGGTTCTGCAGCTGAGCCGGCGACGTGGGCATCTGCATCTCCAGGACCTCATTAGCCACGGCCTCGATGCTCTCCACATCCGCCCCGTCTTCTGCAGATGACCAGGGGAAGCCAAGGTCACGTTATTCACCAACCAGCGGTCATGGCGCGATGGCGGACGTGTGAATGCGGGGACCTACGTGTCAGGAAGTCACGTATCTGCTTGATCAACCCCCGTAGCTCCTCATTGCTCTGGTCCACGCGATGCTTTGTCTCATTGCTTTTTGCCAGAACATCGCGGGCGTTGGCCTTGGCCTCGTCAGCCCGCACTTTGGCCGCTGCCACCTAGGCGACAGCCATAGAAGCATCTAGAACAGGGGTTCTCGAACTTTTTGATCAAAGGTCCGTATCAAATTTTTGTTCAGTCAGATTTGGAACAATTCAATAACAAAACAGCATTTCATGAACATTAACGAATTAACAGTAACTTTCAAGATAGACGTCAAAATATACAATAACGGCTGGTTTAATGCACGCTGGTTGTTTCGACACGTTATGTGCGTGTGCGAAGTTTGGTGGTCCAGCGTTGTTTTTTGTGCTTCATACCACGTTAACCGTTTTTACGTTAACCATATTTAGTCTTAAGGCGAATTAGCAGCTGGGTCTGGATTAATTTGCAGTTCTGTCCGCATCCAGACCGCGGTCCGGACCTTGAGAACCCCTGATCTAGAACAACCTTTGCTCGTGTCAAGATATGATTAGAACCTAAATGAAGTCCAAATATCCAGGGGTTTACTTTCAATCAGTTCTTCAAATCTTTCGTGATGTCAGCTCTTGTGGGAGAACACAGCCTACCATCTTGGAGAGCCTGTCCACCTCCTCCAAGGCACCGAGGATCTCCTTGTCGAAGTCCTTGGCTCTCTGCCAGGCGTTATGCGCGACGGTGACCAGGCCCTCGCAGCCCTCGCCCCCACACCTCCTGCTGCCGTCCCCGTTCCGGCAGCCCAGGCCCCCGCAGGGCGAACACGTCTCTGATCCCTCTGGGTTGCCACAGGTCTGAGGGAGAAAGTCAGAATGTTCCCCAGAGATTTACATAAAATATAATATAATTAAATCATTCTGAGATTCCCGCAAAGTAATCCCAGGATTATTCTCTGTGTATATACAGGCAGCTCTCGACTTGTGTAAAACAGACTTCAGGACGTATCCGGCATGTTCTTTTGTACATATTATTAGCATAGTTGCGGTATGTGGCTCAGCAGGTTAAGGCTGTTGTGCCTGGGATTGGAAGGCTGGTGGTTTGAATCCCAGGGTCTGCAGAGTGACGTCACCACAAGGCCCTTCATCTTTGACCCGCTTTCTCTCAAAAATGTAGTTTGCTTTGGACCAAGGGTGTAGGTTTGGTTTCAACACTGGTAAGAACACAAACCCCCCACCCCACTGAACACACATTGGTAGAGACAGATCTATACCCAAAAGAAAATATATTACATAAAGTATCTGTTAAGCTTAGGTAACATTTCTCTTGTGCGTCGCCGCGTCACCGAGATGTTCTGTAGTGTCAGACACCCAGAGACTGACCTTCTCGCTTAGCTTGGACAGGCCCAGGGTTTCCAGCTGAACAGCCAGGTCATCCAGCCTCCTCGCATCCTCCTCTTGTGTCCTGCTGAACTGCGCTCTGCTCCCGTTCATCCTGTCCTCCGCGGCGCGGCGGATGGCGGCGGACTGCTCGACGGTGCTGCCTGGGTCCGTCGTGGAGGCGTTGGCGAGCGCCTCGGCGTCCAGGGACTGCTGGTAGTACTTGGTGATGCTGTGCAAGGCGCCTTTAGGGGAGATGGCAATAAGTACTTATTTTTATACAAATATGAATTACTATCAAACAGTGTTTAGCAGCCCGATCCTTGGGGATATTTTTGCTCCCAGCCAGACCAGAACCCTGAATACCTGGTACAGGTGAGCTGGGAGGGAGCAAAAACATGGAGTGTTAGTGGGTCCCCAAGGACTGGGTTGGGAAATACGGCTCTAAGACGTAGATCACATATTATAATAAGCCAGGGTTTTGTTTGCTTTTATTCTGGCGCCCATTTGACACTGCGTGAAGCTCTAAATCGATTCATAGATTTCTTCTGGTCCCTTGAAAGTCACACCTACCCTTCACACCAGAGTTCTTCACCAGCTCCACCTGGAACTTCAGGTCACTGACCATCTGGTCCAGCTTCTGAACATCCTTGCTGAGCGATTCCAGCTTGGCATCAGTGCCGTTGTTCTCTGCCGAGACCTCGGCCAGGGCCTCCTCTGTAGCGTTGAGCTTGCTGAGCAGCTCGGTCACCAGGCCCCTGTACCCAAAGGAAGAAGCGGGTTCATTAGTGTCACGCTGGGAGGGCGGAGCTCTGAAAGCGGCCAATCAGCTGCTCCGAAACAAAATGGTTTGCAATCAATAGGATATTTTTTCATTTAAATGTCATACTGCAAGTTTTTAAATCATGACCATTCTTAATTGTACATTTATATTAAAGACCTAACATTACAAAATGCTACATTCCAATTTAGCCTTAAGGGTCTTGCACAGGGACTCAAAGATGAAATCATTCCGCAGATTCAGGGATTTAAACCAACAACCTTCTGTTCACAGACAAAGCATCCTAACCTATTGAGCTACACAGCATCCCCCTTAATTCACATACAGGCCCTCAGGACACCTACGTGGTCTGTTCCAGCTGCTCCTGGATCTCCAGCAGGGGCTGGGTGGCAGGGTTCTGATCCAGGATGCTCCGGATGGCGCTGGTGCTCTGCTCAATGTTCTGGATGGTCTCCCGGTAGGGTCCCATGATGCCCGTGGTTTTGAGGCCGCTCACCCTCTCCACCAGGAGCCGAGTCCTGTTGCCGAGCTCGGCGATGATGCGGTCCCACACGGCGAAACACTCGTGGCAGCGCTGGCAGTCGGGGAACTCGCCGGAGAACCCACGGGCACAGGTGTCGCACCGGGGGCCGGACACGCCCTCCACACACACGCAGTGGCCCGTGGCCCGGTGACACTGCTGCTCGGCGATGCCTCGAGGGTCACAGTCACACGCTGTCACCGAAAAGGGGGGGCGGGGGGGTTAGGGTTTGAGAAGAAGATGGGCTGAGCTAGAATATCGCTCTTGTTGGTTGTAGCACAATGAAAAAAATGCTAAACAGAATAAGACAAACGTAATATAAATGTGACATTTTAAGACTTTCAGAAGAGATATGGTGAACTGCCTGATTGGCTGGGAAAGATGGTGCCAATTTGGTAAGGAAGTTTGGCATGAAAGCAGAATGTGTGATTAAAAAAGACATTTAGACTTAGAGGTACTTCAAAAAATATTTTCCCACCTTGACCTCTTAGGGGCTCCGTGTATTCCATCTGTTTATTTTTGATTTCTACCCAAAAATCATATTTTATAAAGAATGGAATAGTACTTTCAATGAGAAACATGATCAGGCAGAGGTGAATATTAAACATATTTACTGTCCAAATTGTTTGTGAGACAAAGCCGACATCAGTTAAGTAGTTTTACAAAAGAAAGTTGTGTTTTTGTTAAATAAAAAAAAAACTAAAATTACTTGAAACTTCTGGTTATAAACCGTATGTTATCCTGCTTTTGCGTAAACTTCATTCAGATCTAGCAGACGACATCTGCCCTCTGCTGCTCTGGAGGAATATCAATGCAGCACGCATGCGCCAACATCAGCCATCCGCATCCATATCAACCACAAGCTGCCGCGCGGACGTCCGCCCCCAGGCCGGAAGCACAAGCAGAAGGTACGACCAAGGCTTCAGCGGGACCCAAGCTGCTAGACAGGGAGGGTGGCAGGCAGCCTGCTCCCCCACCTCAGGCTAGTGACACTGAATAACACACAGCCCTGGGGGTGGGGGTGGCAGAAAAGCACACAGCTTCCGGGCCATTCCAGGCCGTTCTATTCACAGGGAGTTACCTTGTTGACTCTGCACCTCTGGGATCTTTGGATCTCCACTTAATCTTGAAAAGGCGACCCCACAAATACTGTCCCCAGGGAGGGGGGGGTGAAGGATTGCTCTGATTCTTTTGTGGTGTTTGAAAAGCCTGTGACCAACCCCTCCCCCCGGCAGGCACCTGAACAGCCCGATCGCCTGCCCCCCCCCCACCCCACCCAGAATAAAGGGGGAGGTTTATCTAACACAGACTCCAACGTAAACGACAAGTGGTGGCCAGGCGCTAAATATTTACAGGCTGGCAGAGACTCGGGAAGCCTGGGCCTCCCAGTGCGGCCAGAATGAGCCCGCTGGTTCCCAGTGAAGCTCAGGCCATTGCACAGATGTGCTCACTGAAATGTTCAGAAAGACCCTTCCCTGGCTCTCGTCTCTCTGTTCATGCTTCAGGCTCAATCCGCCTTCAAAAACATCCAGACAGAATTAATGTAACGTAACTTGAGCCCACGTTCAGCTGGGGCATCTTCAGGGATCTGCGCTACAATCCTGTGCAGTAAAAGCCGGATGAAGACAAACTGAAGAATTATACATTTATAGCATTAAAACGGAGAACCTGGAGCAAGGAAAACGTGAGGATTAGAGGGTAATTCGATGCCTGGGAAGCAGCAGGGATTTCCTACTTAAATCCACTCTCTAAAGAACGTCCAACGACTCCGTCGGCAAAGACTCCCACCTGCTGAAAAAAACACAAACCAACCAAAGAGCAACATTCCCAACTGTGGCTGGAGAACCGTGGGGGAGCGAGAGAACATTCCAGGGATTAGGGAAAAAAAGGGAACAAGGCAGACTATCATTCCCCCATTGTACATTTAACTATATGCAACTGAAAGAGTAAAAAACAAAAATACACAAAAAAAAAAAAAAATCCATTATAAAAATGGAAGGACTACAGTCAAAAGTATGTTACCACACAAGATCAAAGGATCTTGTAATTATACCAGAAACCAAACCTAAAATCAACTTTTTTAATTAAGAGATAATTACAGAGAAAGCAATTCGACTTTAATCTCAAACATGGCTAAAGAATAAAAGAACGATGAGGTAAACAGCACTACCTACCATGGGCAAGGGCCAAGATTCCTTAAAAAAGTCCAGCAGTAATTTATCCTGACAGACCAGACTCCTTTCAGGTCGACTTCAGTTAATCGCAAACCCATCATTCTGATGAGATCGTCGTCAGAACATTACCAGGCTCAGACAGACTCGTGCATGGTTGCCATTGAGACCAAGTGAGCATATAAAAATGTCCCATCTGGTCTTGATTGCCTTTGATGCAAGAACCAGGACGGATAAAGGGTCGGTGTTCAGGAAGCATCCTGGGACAAAACAATCCTGCCCTCCCCCCGCCATCCCCGATGGGAAATTCGCCTCCAGCCGAAAATGTATCAAGGCTCTCCTCCCCCACCCCCAACCCCCAACCCAACGCCATCATCTCTCCATCATCGACCTCGCACAAAACTCGGAGACGGATGTGTAATAAATGGGCATCATCCTTTCATCTGAATGCCTCCACACTGCCAACGTAGCAATTTCAGCCCGGATGCAGAGCGCTGGTGTTCAGGGCGGACATTCCTGCAGGTGCGACGTCAGGAGGGAGGCGGCGGACAGACGTAATGGCATCTATGAGGGGGAAGGGGAAAGGCCCCTGGGAGCAGGGGGCGGAGCTGGGGGTGGAGCAGGGGGCGGAGCTTACCGATGCAGCGCTCCTCTGGGTCACCCCAGAACAGCTCCTTGCACTCGCGGCAGGTCCTGCCTCCGAAGCCGGGCATGCAGGGGCACTGGCCTGTCAGCTGTGGGCACAGAGCGCAAACATGTCACTTGACCGCCACATCGTCACGTCACCACTTCCTACTTATTTATTTGTCAAAAGTGATGTAGGAGTGAGAATCAGAGTGCAGGAAGAGCCAGTGCCCTGGAGTACACGGAGATATGGGCCTTATTCACGGGGCCAAAACAGATACGATTACTCTGCTGGCTATAGGTTTCACACCTACAACCTTCTGGAGATGGGCAGAGATTCCATTCATTAGCCAATGATATGCTTTGAATGGGTGAGTGACAGGGGAGGAGGCATTTTAAGCACCAATCAGCTTTCAGCTGGACCCGGTCACCCCTGGTAACACACCACCTTAATCTTTCCAAAAAAAGAGTGCTGTACAGCTTCTGCATCCCTGGGACAGCAGCAAATGTGGCACGACGCTGCCTGAAACAGATCTGAGTGACTAACGGTGACCTGCCTCATTACAGGACGTCCCGAAGGAGTGACTCAGGTCGCAGTCGCAGTCCTCGCACCCGCTGCCGCTGGCGAGGTTCCAGGTGTCTGGGGCACACCGGTCACAGCTCTGGCCCATTACGTTGGCGAGGCATGGGCACTGGCCGCTGGCCAGGTCGCAGTGGCACTCCCCGTTGGCAGGACAGGTGTGGTTGGCAGTGCCCAGGTGATTACACACACACTCTGGGAGAGAAAGAGGAAACAATGAACTCCCATCAGTCAAGCCATCTTCCCAAAAAAACAGAAAAGTAATCAAAGTGAAAATAATATACAAAATAATACTAATCACTCATAATAGTTACCACAAACAGATCCAATATACTGATGAGAAGTCAGACATCACAGTAAATGTATTTTCCACATTTATAAAGGCATGAGCTCGTGTTAAATCTGCCAGGCAAACTCACTCCTGCAGCTCTGGGTGAGGGCATCTCCATAGTAACCCAGTTGGCAGCGCTGGCACCTCTCGCCCTCCGTGTGGTACAGGCACTTCAGACAGACGCCCGAGCTAGAGTCACATGACCCGGGGTCCATCACATCAATGTTGTGGTTACACTGACAGGACTGGCACTGCCCGGCAACTTCCTGCGGGTTACCGTAGTGACCAGGCGCACATTCATCGCACCTGGCACCTGCAGAGGGAAGAAGGGAAGGAAGTAAAAATAAATAAATAATAAAAAAACACTACTGATCTTTCAAGGCTGCAGTCTTTATACGGACAACTTTGTTGCTGTTCAAAAACATTAAAAGCTGTTCAGAAGTTCACTTTGTAGCTCTAGAGCTGTCAAAGAATAATGAAAAAAACAGGATAGAGGACGAAAGTCATGCAGAGAAAGAGAAAAGTGGCAGGGCTCGGCTATTTCAAGCGCTTTAAATCATTTTACCCAGGTGGGCCATGGAATGACCTCAGAGCTCCACTAGGGGGAGTGCTACCTTTGTACCCTGGCTGGCAGACACACCGCACTTGGCTGGACTCCTGGTTCTGGTAACAGCCCTCGGCGAACTGGCGTCCGCTACCAGGCCCGTCGGGACACATGCAGGGGCGGCAGTGGTCCCCGGAGCCCAGGACCGGGTTGCCATAGTAACCTGCCAAACAACTGGGGATCCAGAGCAAGCAGGAAAAACATCAAAATTATGAACATGCCATTAGGGATTTGGATCAATGCAGCTTCAAAGCACAAGACAATGAAAGTGAAACAAATCTAACAAACCTAGATATACAAGAAAGGCACTATAATTCAGTTTCTGACATGCGCATCGTATAACGGCCAGACTCCTCCCCTGTGGTCGGGGCATAACAGACCCACAGGATGGTTGCTGCTAAAGTCTGGCTAAATTTAGACCATCAGAAATAAAGGTCATGTGGCTGATAAATCGGGCACCAGGATGGACGCCCGTGGGGGTCCAAGCGGCAGATGCGGGGTCCTGGCACACGAACCTCTCGCAGCTGTGCCCGGTGGTGTGCTCGCGACAGCCCAGGCACTTGCCGCTCAGGGGATGGCACTGCTCCGTATGCCCGTTACAGGCACAGGGCCGGCAGGAGGGGAAGCCCCAGTGTCCCGGGAGGCAGTGCCCGCACTGGCGGCCCGATACGCCCGGTACGCACTGGCACTGGCCCGTCACCACATGGCAGAACTTGCTGGCAGAGCCCAACGGATCGCAGTCACATGCTGAGGAGGAAGAGGGGTCAAATAACGGCTGGCAGCGCTATGCCCCCCCCCTCGACATCACACTGGCACGCTGAGCAATCTGACTCACGCCTGCAGCCGTTGGGGCCGAACTGGAAGGTGGCAGGGGCACATTTGTCACAACTCCTTCCCACCACATGGGGGCGACACTTGCACTGGCCGCCGTTGGGGTCACACACGGTGCTGAGGGCGCCCTGGGGGTCACACTGGCAGGGGGGGGTGGAGGATGAGGCAGATTAGAAAGCATCCGTACAAAAAGCACAGCTGACAGGTATAATTATCCAATCTGCTTTTTCCCTAGAACCCCTAACCCTGAAAAAAAAGTTAAAATTTAAAAACGGCTACTTAGCATCTTTGTAAGAAGAGGAAACCCCCCCCCTCACGGTGTGAACACGAGAAAACACATCACAGCCTTTTGCTGCTTTGTGCGAGCTTCAGAGATCAACACAAACCCTCTCAGGAACAGCCGGCCGTGGGGGCTGCAGTTAACAGCTCAGCTGGAACTCCAGCTCCATTAATCCCAAAGGCAGGGCCACAGTGGGGGGCCCCCTCTCATCACCCCAGGGGCCGCAGTTTGGTCACGCTCCACTGGGAGCCATTTCAGCGAGTGACAGGGCCAGAGTGTCAGAGTCAACACATCTCCGGTCAGCGAGAGAACGGCAGCCCTTGGCGGAGTACGGGTCTGGACAGGTCCACTGGGATCTCTGCGACTCCAGAGACATGAAGGGGGCATCAGATGTCTGTGTGTTTATCATGAAAACAAACGCAGACATCTGAGGACTGAGGAGCACCCTGGGGCTGCCTGCGGCTGCCAGCTAAAAGCCCCAGTGGCGGGAAGCCGGCGTCTCTGCAGGAATGTTAAAAGCCCTGAGCCCAACCACACAAGGGAGCCCAGCGAGGTCCCTGCACCTCCTCAGAGCACGGAATTCAACAAAGGCCCCGGCTGTTTAAAAACACTACGCATGTCAGCTTATAATTCCATCTGACTGGTAACAGAATGACCTCACGTTGAGTGCATCTGCACCCCGGCTGGCTCTGCGGTTCCCGGGACCTGATCAGACAGGACCTGGCTGCCCCATGGGTTTGTCACCGGGGTGAGATCGGAGCTTCCCCTGATGGGCTGTCAGACGAAGAGAGAAAGCTCTCAAATGACATCTGGGGCCCAGATGCAGGTGGAGACATGCAGAGAACGTGGGAGCGGAGTTGAGATGAGTTTGGGGTACGAGCGCAGTGTGTGGCTCAGTGGGTTAGGACCCTGCTCCTGCAACCAGAAGGTCACGGGTTCAAATCCCAGGGTTTGCAAAGGGATGTCACCATTCAGCAATTTGCTCAATATAAATCCCGGGATCATTTGCCAAGTGTCAGACATGCTATCAATCAAAGTTAGGCTGATAACTCGCACTTCGCAAGGAGCATTCAGGACGGAGATGGTGAGGAGATCAGAGGACCCTTACGCTTGGCTCCCTGGTTCAGAAGTGCCGACACGCTGAAGATGAAGTTCTTGCAGATGTCTGTCATGGGCGTCTTCACCACGCTCTGGCTGTTCTCCAGGCAGCGGTAGCGCTGGAAGGTGTCCCAGGCGCTGTTGGTCACCACGTCCGTACCCTCCGCGCCAGTGAAGATCTCCAGGTTCTTGCAATGCGGCATGAGGACAATCTGGAAACGAGAGTACTATCCGGTCAGTCTCTGTACCTATGGAAGATGTAACTGCAAGGATGGTAATTGCTAATCATTCATGCTAATTACTAATCAGTCATACTGATTGCTAATCATTCATGCTAATTGCTAATCACTCGATTCATAATTGTTCATGCTAATTGCTAATCTGTCATACTAATTCCTAATTACTCATGCTAATTTCTCATTCTAACCATGGTGAAAATTCACGCCAGTACATTTCAGCTAAAGAATTAAGGCCCATCAAATCAGCACACGACAAGCCTGGTTAGCTGCTTGGATGGACTCACCGAGTCGATGAGAGTGTAAGGGGACTGGATGTCACTCAGAGCCGAGTAGAGGGACAGACTCAGCCGGACAGTGTAGCTCAAGCCCTTCTCGAAGCACACGGGTCTGGACAGGACGACGTACCTGAACAGCGAAACACCAACGCGTCACATGACACCAAGACCAGCAGAGCGAGAGACGCTCAAAACGAAGCCAGACAGGGGCGGGGGGTGTACCTGGAGCCAGGGGGGAGGGACACCATCTGGTTATCGTCTTCCGGCACGGTGTTGATGCAGCGGCTGCCTACAGAGATCTCCCCCGGTCTGATGACGGTCATCACCACCTCCTCCCATTGGTCAGGTAACTACGGCAACCGGGAAATAACAGGCGATTAAGACTTTATGGCAGCGTTTTCCATTCCGGTCCTCGGGGACCCGCAGCCGGTACACGTTTTTGTTCCCTCCCAGCATAAAGGAATATCTTCCCCGAAGAGACAACCAGTCATTAAAGAGATCAAATTTATTAACAGTTATTAGGCAAGAATAAATGCTGAAAAGCCCGGGGCTCTGCCCTGAAGTTCAGGCAGTGATCTTTCTGAGGCCCCTCACCTGGGGCTCATAGCGAATCAGGATGTCATACTCCATGGACTGGGGGATGTTGTCGACGGTGAATTCCAGGTAGGCACCCTCAGGGACGTTGACGAAGCCGACGCCTGTCCAGGTGGGATTCCGGTCCTGGGGATACGGTCGTTGGACCACAGTGACTCCCTAAAGACACAGGAAACAAACCACTGTGAGGTACAATCCAATAAAGCGCTGTCAGGATGAACTGGGTCCAACGTGCTGGACCAAAACACCCCCGCCGCAACCCTACCGGGCCAAACTTGGCATCCTCAGCCTCGTAGGTGTAGTGGTCCAGAGCGATGAAGTAGAACCCGGATTCCACCTGGTTACACTGACGCCCAAACATGTGATCACGACACTGACACTGGCCGGTCTCAGCGGAGCAGCTGTGGAGGACAGACAGAGCTCAGTGGTGAGGGAGGAACGGCCAGTGGTATGTGCCCCCCCCACACAACGGGATAACCTTTGACCTTACTCGTTGTTGACGGCCCCTCCCTGGTCGCATTCACATGGACGGCACCCTTCCATGTCATTGCTCAGGCCCCAGTGCTGTGGCTGAAAGGTGACATGGCTCGTTAAGAGTATCATACATGTCTCGTTCACGGTGCCTCCTGAGATGCCATTAATGCATTGAAGACATGCAGGAAAGAGGGAAATAAACCACAAGCCCACCTGCCCCCCACATGCTCACATTCCATCTGCATGGAAACTTTCCACTCGCTGATTTTATGCAGTTATTTAACTTTGACACAGCAAACTTCAAAACTGATAACGATAAAAAAAAGCTTTTGTGGCACGTATTTTGATAAAAGTTCTCCCAATCATGTTACAAGAATTGCAAAACACATGCACATTGCCAGCAACCCTGCATGTCTGAATAACATCTGCCTTCTGCGGAAAGACATGACTACTTCTGGGACTCGTGAGCAGGCCAGACACCTACCAAACACTGGTCACAGTTCCTGCCCGTCGCCAGACGCTTGCAGTAACAGTTTCCTGTGTCCGTGTCACAGGCACTCCCCCCCGGAGCGGTTCCCAGAGGGTTACAGGTGCAAGCTGGGAAAAAAAAAAAAGCACCGCAAATGACAGGTTATGGATTAGCTACAAATTCACGAACGTGCAACGACAGAGTGTAATAACACGGTAGGTAAGGATCAGAACTTTTAATTTTCAAGGAGTTTAAGTCAAAGGGGACCCTTTAACCACCAAATCGGGCCATTTCAGCATGGCGTTCCGTCACGTCTGCATTTACAGCCGGCTTGATTCATAGTGGGTTAAGGGGTGCAGAGCTAGGGCAGACAGGCACTCACGGAGACAGCCCAGCGGGTCCTCGCTCAGCCCGTAGTGGCTGGACTTGCAGCGGTCACAGCGCTCGCCCTCCACGTTGGGCTTACAGCGGCACTGCCCTGCTATCAGGCCGGCCTGGATGTCCGTCATCCGGTCACAGACGCCTCCATCAAGGGAGCCCACAGGGTCACAGTCGCAGGCTGGGGGAACGGGGTGACATTTCTAAATGCTGGGAAGTTCAGGCCACACGTTCGGCACTACCTTCCGAATATAACTGATATGATTTTTCAATTTTAAAATGTTATGATTAATCCTCTGCAACATCTGAATCGAGTGCTCCAATTACAAATTTTTACTTAACCTTGCATCTATCCCACGAAGGGAAACTTACACACAAACAAGGCAGGAATTGAAATGTGGGGGAATACAAAAGGGGAACAAAACAGAAAGGAACAAACAGAGCTGGAATGAAGGAGACCAAAAGGCAGGTAGGCGAGTCGGAGAGAACGAGGAACCCCAAGCATGATTAACACCAAAGATCTCCTACATAAAAGGCAAGAAAACCAAAGGAGTCAGGAGACAGGAGGGTTCGGTGCTGACAGGTAGCACTTAAAAGGCCAGGTGTTCCCATCTGATAGAGGGCATCAAAGGAGACCCACACAGTGAGGTAGGGGCGAGGGGGCGGAGCCAGGCCAGGACAGTGAAGGGGCGGGACCAGGAAGGGGCAAGAAGGTGGGGCCTGGATGGGCCAACGAGCGGGAGGGGCCTGGAAAGGGCGAGAGAGCAGGGCCAGGCCGGGACAATGAGGGATGGGGCCTGGCAGGGAGAAAAAGGCGGGGCCAGGTGGGGACAATGAGGGATGGGGCCCGGCCAGGATGAAAAGGTGGGGCCAGACCAGAACAATGAGGGATGGGGCCAGGCCGAGACAATGAGGGATGGGGCCTGGCCAGGACAACAAGGGGGCGGGACCTGTCAGGGAAGAGTGGGCGGAGCCAGGTCGGTGAAGGGGCGGGACCAGACGGGGGCAAGAAGGTGGGGCCTGGTCGGGCCAACGAGCGGGAGGGGCCTGGAAAGGGTGAGACAGTGACGGAGATGGGGCCTGGCCAGGACGAAAAGGTGGGGCCAGACCAGAACAATGAGGGATGGGGCCGGGCCAGGCCAGGACAGTGAAGGGGGGCGGGGCCTGTCAGGGGAGAGAGGGTGAGGCCTGGCCAGCACAGCAGGTGGGGGGCGGGGCTACATACGCTCGCAGACATGGGGGTCCCGGATGTCCCGCTCTGGGTGCTGGTAATAAAACGGCTTGCACTGCTCGCAGTTATAGCCCATTGTGTTGTGCTGGCAGTTGTCACATACGCCGCCGCTGACGTTGCCAGTGGACAGGTAGACGGCCATGTCGAAATGGCAGGAGCCCGAGTGCTGGTTGCAGTTGCACTCTAGGGGAGACACACACACACACACACACACACACACACACACACAATTAGGAAGTTCACTAGCAAGCTACATATTTGACTCCATAAGTAATGGCCCCAAATTCCTCTCTGCAGGCTACGCATTTCGCACAAGACGCACTCCTGCATGCGTGGGTGTTGCTCCCCTCGGCCGGCCTCCAGGGCAGGTCATGGTAGAAATCCTGACAGCGCTCGCAGTTCAGGCCCATGGTGTTGTGGTTGCACATGCAGTGCCCGTGAACCTGTGGGTGAGCAAGGGGCAGAGAGAGACGCAGTGACTGGCAAGGCAGGCCGGACTGGGGACCTGATCGGGGACACGCCGGGCCTGATTGGGGACCTGACTGGAGCCTCGGAACCAGCCCGACAGCGGGGTGAAAAAGAGGAGCTCCAGGAGCGGCTCCTGAACAGAGCAGACATTCTGTTTTTTTGTTTCACCCGTGCTTCAGCAGACAATTGGCCCATGTTACAGAGACCTCTCTCAGGCAAATACGGCGTGTCTGAAAATCGGCTGTTCCCCTCAGAAATATCAGAACAATCATCATCTAAACACAGTCCCCACCTTCAGCTACGAGCAGCAGTACGGAGAAACAGCTGGAAATAATCTTTGCTTTAGACAGTAAACAAGATGCGACGCAGACTAAACAGGGGTGTGTTCCACATCTATAGTCATCCACAGGCTCACACTAACACAGACTATTCAGCAGACATTGATAGTTCAGGTCCAGAGAGTATTAGTCCAAACCAAGACTTAGTTTGAACCAACCAGTTGATTACTCTCTGTGTGACTCTTTATACTCAACTGGTTGGTTGAAACAAAATCTTGGTCTGGACTTTTACTCTCTGCCCACCTCTGCTCTTCACACAAACTACCTGACGGTTCTATCCACTCGTATACATCCCCAGCTGTAGGCACAGCTGAATGCAGGCTTTTGTTTTCCATCCGAGAGCGACCATCCACATCTGACAGCCCGCGGCCGTCTTGGCTTTCGGGCGTGACTCACCATGCCCTCCACGAGATCCCCTCCCCCGTTGACGGGGGCGCACTCAGAGGCGTGTCCGTAGCAGAAGCAGTTCCCGCGCACCACCATGTCGTACACGGCGTAGTAGTACTTCTCCTTGATCTCCATCCGCGAGTCCAGCAGGTTATCGCCTAGCGTGTGCAGCTTGGTGAACTTCACCCGCAGGTTGGTGATCTTCAGCAAGTCTGTGCGCCAGAGAATACACTCATTCACCACATTGGGTTGTTACATTGTGTTTGCACAAATTTATAGTGTGATGGTTATTGCAGGGCACTTTATACACATGAACACTTTATACAGTGCGTACCGTCTGCTGGTGCTGCTTGTCTGCGGTTTTTGTACTGTGCTGGTTCCGATGCTGCCTTCATTATTCAATATTTGCTACTTACTGACATTTTTATCTTTAAGCTCTACTTTTAGTTAATTTAATTTCGTTAATAGCATCGAATACGGAAGCTGCAAACAAAATCTCGTTGTGCCTGCGCAGTGACAAGAAAGCTATTCTATTCTATTCTGTCACAGAATGGTACAGGAGTCAGTGTGCATGTGTGTTAGGAGAAACATGCTGAAATAGCAAGTTCACAAGTTTATTTACTGACCTGCAGTGTGATTGCAGTTCGATTTTCCGGTTTACTTGGTTTTCAGTGTGGTTTCTATTTTAAAGTTTAGTTTATTTTATTTCAGGGACAGACTCAAAGTCAGATAAATCGGATCCTTAGAGTCCTACGTGAATATACAGTGCTCATTATGTGCTAATGTCCTCAAAATGAGCAAAACATATTCCAGCTATTATTAAGGGTAAAGACAAACACCACTTTAGCAAAACTGTACTAAAAGCAGTAACAAAAAGTATTTCATGCTTGTTTTTATGTTATTTAAGCAATATTTACAGTTGTTTTATATTATATTTTCGTATCCTATTGTGCATTAGTTTACTAATACGTTTTCTTGTGGTTTCAGTTTTCGTTCATGACAATAACCCTGCTGTAGCACTAAGAATCCAAAAACCACAAGCAAGCAGCTCTGAAGACTTCACAGGTTCACCTACTTTGGATTCTGGGACTGTAGGGGTCTTGAATTCTAAAGGCAGGGTCCAAAACACGAAATATGACCTAAAGTGCAAGAAGGAGAAAAAGAGGAGAAAGCTTCGAGATTTTGGTGTTGAAGGTCTATGTCATAACGTTAGACCATGACTGTACTTAGACCATAACTTATCACAGGCGAGCTCTGTACCTCTCCCTCTGTTGAGGGCTCGATATCAGAATATCGCGAGTCGCAGATGATGTCGTCGACTTTCTTCATGGGCCCCTGGGATATGTCCGAAAAGGAGGCCTCGCAGTCGTAGGCAAAGTAGCGATACACTTGCCAGGTTTCCCCGAAGTCAGCCGAGCGCTCGATAACCATGGCAGCAGGCCGGAAGGTCTGTCACAGGACGGCCATCACTTAGAACTTTCACTACTTGTGGATCAGGTATGTTTAGATGAGCAGCTTTTAAACAATTTAAAAAAATAAACAAAGACAGATATAAGGAAACCTTCAACTGAACGTCAGTTAGTGGGACTTTATCTTAGTCGGCACCACGATTACCTTGAAGGTCATAATCAGGTGGGTGAAGTGGAACTCAGCCTCCAGATCCAGCTGGATGGTCACGTTCTCCAAGCCTGAGGAAACCAGCCATGAGCAAACATCTCAATGAGGCCACTTTCGCCACAGAGCAGAACGGATCTGCTACCTCTGTGGGCAGCAGATGTCTCTACTTCTCTAGAAACTGAGCCCTCCCTGCAACGACTACAGGTAAATGTCTATGATCCACCGCATCTGCCAACTAACCCACAACCTGGAAATCTCGGAAAAAAAATGTGGAAATTAGCTGTTCTGTACCATGCTCAGTATAGGTTTGCTTTTCATGAAAGGGCTGGAGATTTGAAACCATCTAGTACAAAACAGATGTTCATAGATGCTTCTAAAAGATATGGCCAGGAAAGCCCCGAAGCGACTGCCTTACAATATACAATAGGAATGTTTGTCTTTCCTTGCATCCTTAAAGAAATGAGATTAGTTATTTTGTTGCAACTACACAGCTGTGGAATTATCAGGCGACACCAAACACTGTTTCACTCTCTCCATTGAGCTAGACAAAACAATGGAAGGAATGGAAGGTGAGGAATCCATACAATCTTGCATCCTCGTTCTCATTCGTAACTAAACATTTTGATAATAGCTGGTAGAGGAAAGTCACTCTGTTTGAGGGAGTTGAGGAATTCCAGCTGTACTTGGCTTTGTAATGTCTTATTAATGGTCTTCTACAAAAACCATCCCACTCTCTGGAAACATCTGGGCTTTTATCTCATCTCCCACTCTATGCTGTGCCGTAACTGTAGTCATGTCCGAGAATTTATTTAACATTTTCCCCCAGACTAAGATGGCCATCAGACCCATGACTTTTGCTGTTTGAATAAGAAGGTGAAGGAAACTCCACTGTTCTTTAAGACATGACTGGACAACCATTAACAGAGGCCCACCTTCTCAACCCAAAGAAGAAAGGTAGATTTAATCAGTGAGCCATTACTTTGAAGTCCACCTCTCTCCACCCCCAAGGCCCTGATTAAAAGGTTAACTTCGCTCTTCAGAGAATCACCTCCTCGTTCACTGTGAGAACTGACCACCCCCCCCCCCCCCCCCCCTGGTACGGACATTTTCCCAGTACCGTTTTCCGACTGCCACCATGTCTTCAGGCGGTTTGGCGCGAAGGTGGTCACCACGTTCTCCACACTGTGGCTGGTGGTGTGGTTGGCCTTCTCGTCGTAGAGCTCCCTCGAGTCGCACGCAAAGCACTTCTTCTCCTCCTGCGGGAGGCGGAATGAGAGGAAGCCTGATAATGGCGTTCAGATACAGCGAAAGACACCGTAGCACATGGCCATTGGACCCCAACACCACCTACAGCACGGGCTACATGAAAGGCCTTCCACGGCCATCTGAGCCCCTCTGCAGGCATTTATTAGAAGGCTGTCCTTTTTTATTTAAACTGTAAACATTACAGGCCAAGCTCATTTCTTCTGAAGTGTTACCCCCCCCCTCCACCCCTATGAAGGTGTTTACTTTAAATGGTCATCCTGTTTAATGTCACCCCCTCCCACGTGCCTTACAAAGCAGCCCACAGCAATCCGGGGGGGGGGGCACTCCCTCCCACTTGATGTTAACAGCTGTCTCTCCCACCGCCTGAGTTACATTAACAGGGTTCAGGCCAGAAGTGACACCAGATTTAGGTAAATGAACATCAGGTGCAGGAGCCGCCACTAGAGATTTTGGGCCCAATGACAGCATATTATATTGGGGCCCTATTCCACTTATTTTTAGAGCCCCGTTACTCAGGGGCCCCTAGAATCATCCTAACTTTCCCAGTATTTTCGGCCTCTTGATCAGGTAATAAATTAAATAACTCCTACAATTTCCATCATTTGTTAATCAATAAAAAGAAAAATCCATGATAGTTTTGCTAGCGGACCCACAAAAACTCAGAGAACTCCGTTTGTTGAAGGAACAAGCCTGTACCCCCCCCTTCCATTCTGCTTCTCATTACATGTCAAAGTACACAGATGGGGCAGGTCTGGACCATACAGAAAGTCACATGGGTGGTCCAACACCTATATAAACAAGACTAAAATTATTAAGTTCATCTGGGCTTCAAGCTTACACACACTGGACATGCTGAGAACACAGCTCTCTTTCTCCATACACAAAGCACAGTTATAAAAAGTGTGGCATCCATCTCAAGTGAGTGAACTTTCAGCTCTGTCCTCAGTCAGGGGGATTTTCAGAGCTGCCCAGGAAGTGCTCTAGACAGCCAGGAGGAGGGGGAGAACGTGCATTCCCATCCAAACCCCCACCACTAAGAGGGAATAGAGTGCGCCCACCCCCACACCGAAATCACAGCAATTCAACAAAGATGTGTGTAAAAAACGAGATCATATCTTAACGGAACCTCACACACGTTTGAAAGTCGTTCAGTATTTGGTCTTCGAACACAAATCCTAGGCTGTAAATCTTAGAAATTATTATGAAGGTTTGCCCGCAGGATGTGGAAGCCGAACACAATTGCATCGTTAATTTATAACTAACTCCGTTTTAAACAGGAACAATGACACGAAAAACAAACATTTGTTGGGGCGAAAAAACTTGAAATTGGAAAACGAAAATCTGTATGTTTTTTTTCATCATATGTGCTTGTAATAAGTGACAAATTACAGAAAATCTAAATTTAAGTTTGCTATACTTATCACGGTCTATCAAGGCGGAGACCTTTTAAAATTGCTTGTGACCAGCCGACCTGCGGGAGGACATTCCTGAAATATCTGGGCGATAGAGTTTCAATGATTACTGCTAATTAGTATGAGTTATCCAGGGTGAAGGGCCAGTGGGGCTCCGCCTGAAGCACCGGCGAACGTCCGGCCAAGCCCGCGTTTAGCGGCTCCGCTCCCCATTACCTGCAAATGGCTGACGATGCAGAAGGGTTCGGGTCGCAAGAGTCCGCATGTGGAGCTGGCCGAGAGCTGATGGGCCCTGCCGATCAGCAGGTCCCCTGTGGCCGGATAGCAGCTGCCCTGGGTGCACACATCGCTGAACTCCGGTATCTGGGCCAGGGATAATGCCCAGACAGCTAGGTGGTGGAGAAAGGGTCGCTTACTTTAGATTTGAAAATGCCAACCGTATTATTACGCAGGCTGCCTTCATGCAGACTTACTAACGACTTCTTCAGTCCTTAATTAATTAATTAATTGATTGATTCATTCATACCTACAGACTCAGTTCCTTGGGGGAAACTGTGCCGTGGAAGGCACTATATAAAAATAAACGGAAAAAGTACAACATCCCATGTTTCCTTAATGCAAACTTATTTAACGTAAACAGCATCGTAGTTACTAACATCTTCCCCGATTTTAATTAACCTCTCAGATCTTTTCTAATCTATTATAAATGGGGATATGGCCAATCACTGAAAACTTTTGCCACCAAAAAAAAAACATTAAATACATAGAATATAACAGTAAACGTGGTTTTCTGGGATCTTTGCGTGCGCGAACAGCCACAAGAGTCGTAAGTTTGCGATGGTATTTCTTTTACAAAGTTTGAACTCGTGTAGTAGAGTAAAGGTGAGCGGAGTATGAAATATGAACATTCAGTGCGGCTGCTATGTCAGATTACATTGCATTCATAAACTATAACAAACGCGGCTGGTTACATAGCAGGAGGAGACGCGTCGCCAGTACGGATGCAGCTACTTACTGAAATGCGTGATGACGCGGAGAATCAGCATCGTACTGCTCTGGTAGTCGCTGCCCTTCGGCGTTGTGGCTAGCTGGGGCTCAGACTGACTCCCAGCATCGGGGGCGCCTGGTCCCACCCCGCCAGTGGGAGCGGTGAAAGGGACCCCCCCCCCAGGCATGCGCACATTACACCGAAAAATGGTATTTAGAAAGAAAAAAAATCACTAGACCAGTGCAGTTTAAAAATTGACCAGCGGGTTGTAGGTACTTAGTCTATAATCATAAGGCAGCGTGTAAGCTTTCATTTCATTTAGAGGTCTATCATTTCAAATCCTTGCGATATTTTTAGTCTGAAAAACTTAATCCAGTTCAGTGCACTTAGTTGCAGCCTATAGTTTGATTACATTTCAGATTTACCTGTAAAAACCTTATAAATATCTATAATTCTTTAGTGTAGTCCTCTCAATGCTCGGCAGTTCAGAAAGCAAATAAGCTTATTTGTGGAGTCACCAACTTAACAGCAAATAATACGATTCTTTTTTTTTTTTTAAGTTTGAGTTGACCGTCACATCTTTGAGTCCAGATTCACGAATAGATGATAGGTACCTATTCGCGAGCAAACCGTCAAAACCTTTCCGTAATAATCCTATCTGAACATTTTCTCCAAACGGATCACCTTTCAACCTCTGATCCGTGTAACTGTAAATGACCTTCCCACTAAAATATTATGGCAAATCGTTACTCAGTTTCAGCAATGCCGACCGACTTGGAAAGTTTCCTTGATGATTTAATAATTACTGGTCCGTTACGGGGGGCAGATTAATAGGGGTTAGGAGGTAAAAATGACACCTTTGGTCGAAAAAGATTCATATTTACACCTACGATAAAAAAAAATCCATCGTGACTAACACCTATTTCTGTTAATCGGGAGATGCCGACAAACGCGAAGGAGAGAGATTCCCTACGTCACTGCGGCAGGCACGCGTACAGGCCTTAGATATGATTTCCTGTTAAATCATTACGCTCAATCGTGGGCGGTGAAAATATCTCCATAGATGGGGAATATCAATTAACTCTGAAATACATTTGAAATGACTGGCCATTAATCACTTAGGCCTAGTTTCCATGGTCCTGTCCGGTTTGAGGTTACCATCTGGCTCATGTGCTCCCTTGTAAAATATACTTTTATCTGGTATGGAAGTGACAGGCAAAATATAGCATGACAGAGACTATCAGTGCAGAAATGTTAAAATCAGCCCCAGTCGTTTGACCACGGCAGGGAGTCGTCAGCTTGGACCCGCCAACCGCTGTCACCTGGGGCTCGACCTCTTTACAAACCCGCTGCCAAACCCAAACCATGTCACCTACTTAGATAAACACAGAATAAAAGTCAAACACCTATCCATAGCCATTTTGAATTACAAAATATATTAAATCAACTCAACCGAGGGATCAAACTTAGAACAAATAGCCTATGAACACAAATGGTCCATAGGAAACGAACTCTGAAAGTCTTTTGTAGTGTAAGTGATGTTTTATTTAAAGTTGATATTTCGTTCTTCTATTACAGAAAAAAACCTATATACTACATTCTAGAACAAAACTATCATTATGAAGAGTTCCCAGTCTGTAGCAATTATCTTACTTCATTGAAATGCATTTAAAAATCACATTTAAACTAAATCACACAAAGGCAGTTATTTAACTGTATCCATAAGAGAGTTTACAGTAAAAGTTTGCGTATCCGATGAGGACCAAGGCACTACCAGACAGTTAAATCTTCCAGATTTCTTAACATTACTCTGGAAAAACACAATTGTATATATAATTATAATTTAGAATTATAACAGATTTTGTATAATCCTTTTATACACGCATACACAAACCCGCTAATGATTACTGCAATTTTAACACACTGTAATGTCGGATATTCCAGACAGCACAAGAGATCACAAAGTAAATAACAGCTGGAACAAGGGGAAGGACTTTCTTTAGCGTAAATGTTTAATAGTGTTATTTTTCTAATACTGGGTACCATAGTTTTACTGCATTGACGTGAGACATTTGCTGCAGTCACTTCATTATCCACTACTAAGTAACAAACGTCAGTTTGAAAAGGCAGAAGCTAGGAACCGTCTTCCATGAAGAAGCACGCAGCCTGGAGGACTTCAGGTTCCTTCTGTTTGCCGCCAGGTGTATTCGGACACCATCATAATAATACCTTATTTAGAGCAGTTCCAGCAGCTCACCTCATTAGGTTCTGATGGAGCAGAATTCCACAGCTAGGACTGCTGGTCTGCTGTATGTTCCTTATTCTCAGTCCCTCACTTTGACATTTATTAACGGAACCTGAAAGGATTTTATAAAACACTGGCTTCAGTATAACCTGGTCTGAAGCCTTTTTTTTGGCGGATGAGTTCGCCACAGTGTCACCGTCCACCTCCAGACTTTCGCTGTGGCGGGGGCGAGCTTAGAGCCTGGCGAGGGGAGCAGGGTCCTGGCTGTGATAGAGGTGCAGCTGCAGAAACTCCAGGATCTTCTTCCAGGAATCTTCCTGGGCGTCTGCGTGTGGCTTGGTTTGCCCCCCCCACAGCATAATGACTGGAAAACGATCAAAATTAAATTAGACAAAAAGTCAACAGCGACAGGAGAGAGCAGAGACAAGAAAATCAGACGTCACTTGACTTAAACATGTTCATTGGTTAAAATGTATAGAAAAGCTCATAGAAGCATGTAAATGTTAAAAGTGCACAATAAGACATAAATTAAGTTTCTGTTAGCGCAGTATCATTTCCAAATTCTTGCAATTCTCTGTAATAAATGACAAGATACCTCAAGAACCATAACACATGGCCAACAGAGCTATGCAGCTTTAATTTGCTTTGCTGCCATCTTATGGTTATTTGAGGAAGGACATGGAAAGCTGCAGTGACCGTTGAAAGGAAAAACAGGTGAGCCTATGAATTACTGGGGTGTCTGTTCAATAACTCAACATGGCGCAAAGCAATCTAGCACAAAGCCGGGGACACAAGCTAACAGCCCACTGTTTATTTTAAAAGTGAACTATCCATTGAGTCCCAGGCTGAACAGTAACCAACCCAAATACACTTCTGATCAGTACCTTTGTCCCCACGCAGAACAAAGTTACTGGCACGGATATGAGGACTATAGGGTGGTTCAATGAGATGTCCGGCTCCAGGGTACGACAGTATGGTCAGGAGGTGGCTGTTCCCAGCTTCCTCCATCATCTTCTGCATCTACAGGAAGAAGGTCATTGGTTCAACCTGCATTCCAACAAATAGACTCCGACTGGAATACTCATATACACCCATCAGATCCATTTCCCCCTTTGGGTGAGGTGATTAGGTAACAAGGATTTGTAAGGTTCTAGGTGCTTCTAGTTTCAGGTTTAACCCCTGTGATTAGGGTGCTTAGTGTGTTTTCAGCAGCATCCAGAATTGCAGAAACGTGCTAGATCATCAGTCTATCATTCATAAGTGCTTGTCCGGTTCAAGGCCGTGAGAACGTGGAACCTCTTCCAGGGCACAAGACAGGGCAACACACAGGACGAGACGCCAAACTATGGCAGGACACAAACACACGGACATCGATACGCCGGAGGTTTGCAGCGTCTGCAACTGGAAATAGCAGCGGGTGCCAGACTCACATCCTCTGCCGACTCCACCGTGGCCCAGTTCTGATCATCCTGCCCGACGATCACCAGTAACGGACACCTGATCCTCCCAACCTATAAAAACAGGAGAAGGATGTGGGCGCGAAACAGCAGTTTGGTAACCAAAATACCAAAGCCGTGGCCAAAAGCCTGGGAAACACTTACATCTACTTTCATGCTAGGCTCAGATGGCAGAGGCAAAATCACGTCCCTCCAGATCAAATAGTTGTTTTCATCAAAACGTGTTTTCTGGAAATTTCTGGAAAGAAGGTTTTATCTGGTGAAGCTCAGAGGAATCCCTACCATTGACCTACAGGGGATATCATGATTTTATCAACGAGACACTTAAAAAAAAAAAATCAGTTAAAAATATTATGCATTTAAACTACTCAGACACACAAAACATCACAGAATTGATTGCAAATATCAAAGTAAGCAGAAGCCTTACTCCTTAATCTCCTCAAAAACTGAAAGAATGGGTTTGTTTATGGGATGGACGTGGCTGCCGCTGATACATACGCAGCACCTGGGCTGGGACGACACAAGTCGCAGAAATATTATTACTGGTTGAAGACGACCACTGACATCCAAACAACCTCATTTTGAGATTTATTAAAGGTACTTCAGAGGATTTTATAAAACACTGCCTTCAGTATTACCTCAACGGCTCTCTGTAGCAAAATATTCATGCGGCAGACAGAAAAACAGCATATTTGACCGTGAGGAGGGAGGCAGAGACTGACCTTGACAACTGTAGAGAATGCAGCCATGGATAAGGCTACAGAGGTTCCGAAGGACAGACCCAGCACTGCAACACTGTTTCTGGCCACAAGGGGGTGCTCTTGCACTAATTTAAAGGCTGCCTTTGTGAGAATAAATGAATATTACTGGACTGTCTTTCAAATAAAACAGAAATTATGTATTTGATTTCATGAGACAAAATGCAGTATTTACATTTAGTGCGATTTGCATATGGTGGGGGGGGGGGGATGCATCTTAGTGCTTCACTTTTTTTGAAGTCTTGAATTATAATTTCAGAACTGAAAGTAATTCATTCATATCTTTTGTGAGCCAGTTAATTAGGTGGGACAAAATAAATGTTCCCAAGGGGTGTATCTGGTGCTTTTCCCCTGCTCATTACTCCATAGTGACATCTACTGGTAACTGCATGTAGGTGGAACTGAGTAGACAGGACTCTCCCCCCAGGAGTCTGTTGTATGTCCTTGTCCCCCACTGGTCAGAGAGGCACATAGCTGGCAGCATAGACATGGAGAGGAGGGCAGAGAGGAAGCAGAGGAAGGCAGTTACATCGAAATAGCCAAACTCGATATCAGCGGTTCTGGACTCGTCTGCAGGGAGGTACTCCAGTGCCATGGTGACAAATCCATGCGAGGCCAGGAGGGCAGCACGGTACTCCACCAGCCCCCCTCCCCCGCCCCACATGTCCAGCACACCTGCAAAGGGTCCAGGACCTGGGGAAGGAGGACATGTTTACCCATGTGAGCCGAGCTTCAGATCGACCAATGAGTCGAGCCGCTGTGCTCCGAGTTACCTTGAGGCAGGAAGAGGGTCCCGGTGACCCCACCCTCTCTGACGTCCACCCTGCGAACACCGGGGCCCATGTACCAGCGCTCGGTGACGGCACACGCCAAAGCCACCAGCTCCCCGAACCTCTGGCTGACGTGACCTTCGTACATCGAGATGCAGACCACCATTGGAGAAGCCACATGCTTCTTTCGCAAGCTGTGGGGGGAGGTCAGCGTTTAAGCCACGGGGCCCCAGGCTCACATCCCGCGGTGGTGGCCGCACTCACCGTAGTCCCGTCCTGCTTCCCGGAACTGGCCTCAAGCTCCACAACAAGCCCATGGGCTCGACCCCCTCGTACGTGCCCCCCAGGCTTTCGTGCCGGTCTGCTGTAAACACAGAGGCCACAGTAAACACAAGAAGGCCAAGCGGAGTACAGCCCAAATCCATCTGCCAGAAGGCGGCTGCTAAAATGAAACCACGGCTGTCTGAATGTTACAAAGCTGTACAGCTCCGGCATTCTGTTTGACTTGGGGAACTGAAACTCTGGATCAGTTAATATTTAAAGGTCCTTGATAATCAATTTAGATTGTGGAACTGAATTATTTAATTACAGTTTATAGTTGTACTGGGAAATAATTCACTTTGTTAAAATTCTAAGGTTCCACTTGTGAATGATACCACGACCATTGTGCACAAATTACAGGCATACCAAGGGCAATATCTGCAGGTGTTATATTCTGAGGTGAGAACAGTTTAGTCAAAGACCTTTCAGCCAATATATCTGTTGTTATAACATGCTGAAATGTGAACGGATAACAGTTTACGGTGAACCAAAAGTTCTGACCCGTGACTCGGCCATCAGCGTCACTAACGTAGAACCCAAACGCCTCCCAGAAGTCGCCATCCTCAGACTGGTGCAGTGAGTGCAGGGTCACTTTGTGGGCAGGCGGTAAATTCTCTACGGCGATTTGAAACTTTTCATCCACGAGTCCTCTGGATGGCCGAACCTCGAGCAGTGGGCACGCACAAGTTCCCAACATCGGGCTTGCTAACCTAAAAAGCATCAACTATATGTCGGTAAATGCAAACTCAGTCACGCTTTATCGTCAAAAGCTATGCCCATAAAAACGCTAGCAGATGATTGTAGGTAAGACACACAATCTTTAAGTAATCCCATGCCTAAATGATCAACATTTCTGTTTAGAATAATTACAATTTTTGTGAGGCTGGAATTTTTTTTTCATGGACTTCAAGCATCCAAAGTTACAATGAAGCAGAGAGTGAGGTATGGGATTGCTCTTCCTGGAAAGCTTCTGCTTTAGGTGAACTTCAACCAAGAGATCAACCGCTTTGATCACGCAAACATCCCCCGCTGCCCTGACACTTTGTTCTGCACGTGCTTAGTCAATATCGGCTCAGTCACGTGGACAACCGTCGTACTCAGTAGGCTGACATTTCACCTACTTTCCCTGTTCGTTGTCTGAAATTATTTGACCGTTTTAGGCGAGAAACTGTAATGTATTCTAAGATTACCAGAGACCACACCCTCCAAAATATACTATCATACAAAAAAAAAACCCAATATATATACTCTATATTTTACTACCTGAAGCTTAATCAATACTTGCAACTACAATCTACAACTATGGTAAAGAGTAACCGGATCGGACTATTGACTCCTCTTTTATTTGTACAACTAGCCAGCCTTAGGATATAATTTTAATGCATACACGCTTCATACTGTAAGCGCAATTTTTCCCCTTAAGTTAGAAGCCAGCCAAGCCGTTAAACAACGTAATGTTAACGGAAATGTAATTCCCAGAACATTTCAAGTTTCCTACAGGATGAACTGAATCATATGTATGAATGACGAGTGACAGCGCTTCAGCTCCCTGCTCAATTTAGATGATAATGTAATAATAATGTACACTTTATTAATCCCCGTGGGGAAATTCTTTAAATGAGCGAGCGACAGTGATCTTGCAGTGAACTTACAGGGCGCCACCGTGCGATTTCGCCTCGCCAAAGTGGGGTACCATCCCGTCGGCGATGGGGACTCGCAGCGACGGCCGATCTGCAGGAGGAAGCAGTTCGGACACGGCTAACGGGTCGCCTCAGGAGCGCATGCGTGGAGCGCAGGTGTACGGTGGTCCGGAAGTGCGAAACATAACGCATTAAGAAAACGCGAAAAAGAAATTAAGAAAATGCTGAAAGGATTAGTAATACGGAAAAACACAAAATTAAAAAAACACAAACGATTGAGAAAACACACAAAAAAAGATTTTTTTCGCGTTTTATTTTTTTATTATTTGTTCTGTTTTCGCAGTGCTTTCTCAATTTTTCTTAATGTTTTTGCATTCAAAAAATCTTTCGTTTTCTTCGTGCTGTCTTTGCACCTCAGGGCACGTGGGTCCAGGCCCGAGCGATCCTTTAAAATATCCCATCAAGTTGAAACCTAAAACGCACTCGTAATACTTCATATTTCTATTGCCAGCGCCACACTGTATGACAACAGAGGTATGAAGCGGGACTGGATGGAACGGCGGCAGCGGACCCGCGAATCACGCCAGATTTATCTTTATTAATCGACTGTTATGTCTTATCTTAATAAATATTGTCATATTTAGATTTACTCTCCTTTTACTTAACTTGGAATTGCACCGAGCTGTAAATTAATCAGTTATTTTAATCCAGGTGATTGTTCGAGGGTTGAAAATCTTTAGTGACAGTCTAGAGATGATGTACCGGAACGGGGGTGACTCATAAAGCTGTTGTTGTAAGATGATTCATTCTGTATCATTCATTCAGTAATTTCTGTCCAGTAAAGAGCTTGACTGTAATTACAGGAAAGATAACCAACATACTCTGGAATGTTATAATAATAGTTAAATAATAATAATTAAAGTTTACAATTTGGTTTGAGGGGGGGTCGTAGAGGATATGACAATATCTCTGAGGTGTAATGGATATCAAGCTGATGATATGCAGACCTACTTCGCGCGGAGAATAAGGTAAAAAAACATAAATGTATATTTGCTAAAATAAATGTTTAAATGGAACATCAAGTTTTCATAACGTAATGCGATCTTACACCTTAATTTCCAAGAAGAGTACCTTATCACACTACTTTTCAAATACGGTATCTCATACTTCAAATGTGTAATATTGTTTAATTAAGCCGGTAAAAAAAAGTAATAGGCTAATATCCATAATTACGCAAATAAATGGCATTTCCCCCTTTCGGAGATTAAATGTATCGCCGTAAATGGGACTTAAAGGGAAACGAAACTCTTACGGGGAACCTGTCAGCAGCGGCTAGTAAACAGTACTGTTCGCCAAGTTAGCAGTGATCCGTTAGAACTGATCCATTGTAACGCCAGTGATTACGTTAATCATTACGAAAATTCGTACTCATATTTTATACGCGATTCGTCTGATTGCCATTGCATCTCAGAGCACAGTTTGCAAGAAGAGGAACTTTTTTTTTTTTTTAAAGTAAATATAGGCCTACTGTACTTGGCTCGCTCTCATGCAGATGATCTAACGCATAAAATAAATACCGTCGATAGAAACTGCATCCTCTCTGACTTGATTGCTAGGTGCTTAGGCAGAGCCTAGTGCAGGGGTCACCAACCTCTTTGAAACGGAGAGCTACGTCACGGGTACTGAGCCATACGAAGGGCTACCAGTTTGAAACGCCCTCCTAAACTTATCTAAACTTCATGTATAGTAAACATGTTTTAAATGCTTTTTTTTTAGATATTGTCATTTTCAAATCTATATAAATGTAAATGTGATTAAAGAAGAATAGCAACAGGATAAAATTAAATTTTAGACGCTGCTTACTGGTGAGTTGTGCTATTTTTAGAACAGGTCTGTGGGCAACTTGTGGTCCTTGGGGGCATCCTGGTGCCCGTGGGCACCATGTTGGTGACCCCTGGCCTAGACCTTCATGGTCAAACTAGGCCAGAAGTGTAGCTTTGGGCCCCACGAAAGCAAATCATATTGGGCAAGGTTACAAATGAAGTGCAGGGTCTGTTGAATCCATACCCTTCCGATTCAGGCATGCAGACAGGTCTGCAATCCCGTTCCAGGATATGGAACGTGGCCCCCCAGTTCAGGTAGACATCCCAGAAGTGTTCCTATGGGGTTCAGGGTGGGTCAGCTTTGCCTGTAAGTGAGGCTGTAGCTTGAAGGCCAGAGACCTGTATTATAGCCTGGGCTGGAAGATCAGAGGAAGGACCTGACCAGACATGAAAGGCTGGTTTCTCCTTGGAGAGAAAGTCTGTGATGTGGGTCACCAAACGGCTCCCTCCATGAGTAACATCAATAAAAGTATAACAAGATCATGATGAACTTACGCAATTGCCCTCGAGTTCCTCATCACTGCTATTAATAGCTGTACTGAAAAAGGGCCCAAACCAATTAAGATGGGTATCATATTTTCAGCTGAGTGGGACATGGGACTACACCCATCTCAGGTTTGGATGGCATGGTGGCTGACAGTGACCACAACCCCTGGGTTGTCGGTTGGAGTCCCATCCATACTGTGTCAAAGAAACATACGCTTCGGTGAAAGAATGTCTCTGAATAGCCCGCCGTGTGTGTGAGCGTGTGCATGTGTGTGAGCGTGTACGTGAGTGTGAGCGTGTACGTGAGCGTGAGCGTGTACCCCGGCATGAACTGAAACCTGCTTAATGCTCCCTGTGTCCTGGGATGTGACCCTTTTACTCGATACTTTTATGTAATAAAGTTCACAGTATATCAACATGTCGGCTGACCCAGCATTCATTTGGGGAAGCCCAGACTCGAGCCAGCCTGGCATCTCCCCCGCTACCCGAATCGGTAACAGGTAATGAAAATGGCATTAAGTGATTTAATACAAAGCCCATCATCAATAGCTATGGTTTTACTTGGAATTCGGAAACCTAAAGAAAACCCCATAACAAAGAAAAACCCCCACAATCATTGCATCATGAAACTGAATTTTACGGTAAGGAGTGCTGCTCAGTCGTCCAGATCCCACACAAGGTCTAATGTCAACAACATTTACTCCAGGAGTCAGAGTCGTACGCCAATATTCTTCAAATGCAAAAGGAAATACACTTCAATACATACTTTGTATCATAGGTCTTATAAATAAACTGCACTGTTTATTTTACGATAAACAGGAAAAGGGCATTTTGTTTTACTAAGCAGCTAAAAGGTCAGGACCTCATTATCTGCCCATTCAGCTAATGTCCCTGCTAGACTTACTCACTCACTTCCACACAACACCTTTGGGGCAAACGTTAACTCTCTGCTCAGCTTACCTATTACCTGACAATTTACCTTTTCAGATTTCACCTCAGCACCGATAAAATGACTAACCTAACCCAAACTAAACTAACCGACTGACTAAACTATGTAATTATGAAGCTGAAGTTGTGGTGTCCCATAATTGTCACCCCCCCTGAGTGAACTCAGCTTCTATGAAGGTCTGTGTGCTGAAGCTGAGGTGCAGCACTGAGATGCCCCTGTGCCCTTTAAGCTTTTAGATTTTAATGTGGTTTAGAAACACATGTTCATTTAGCTTTGCTGTGAGATTTTTTTTGCACCATTAAGTAGACTAACATTTACACTGAGTGCTGGTAACATTCACAAAATATTACAAGCAGTCTTTACTCTAGTAAACACAGATAAAATTACGGAGACTGGCGAATGGTTGTGTACTCGCCTTCAGGTTTAACTTTCTACATATTAAAAATATCTATAATTATTTTTTTACCTTTGTGCCAGACAGTAAAACTTCTTAGGGGTGGAGCTTGGAGTGACTCCTTTATAGTCAGACTCCACAGCGTGGCCAGAGAAAGCAGAGAGAGGAGACCGGCATCACATCAGGGACCAAGACCCGAGACTCTGGGAACTTTTGCCCTGAAAGCAGAACGAGTCGGATGATCAGAGACCAGGGAGACAGGCCCAGAGGGGGAAGAACAAGAATGCGATCCGCTCTCCTAATGGTGCTGACAGCCTGCGGCGTCCTGGCTGAAGGCGGCATGATGGACAGGATGCAGCACTGTAGTACACACTGTTCTCAGGTAATGAACACAACTCGGTCCTAATTAATATTACCCACCCCCTTTACATTGTGTGTACATTGCCAATGGAAATTTCTTGACCTGATTCTGATGTGTAATTCCTGGGAAAAGGTTTACTGAAAACACGAATGTGAATAATTGTATAGATTATGCATCATTCAAGAGATATTCAGTACATCATTCAAACTCGGACTGACTGACGCGTCTGCGATGAACTCAAGAACCTAATGATTCTTTACATTTGAGACCTTACAGTGATGAAGTTCTCTGTGTTTTGAAATGTTGCTTATAAAAATTGCCTGTCAGTGCTTCCCAGTGTACTGTGAAATAGATGTATTTTCCAGTATTTCATCGCCTTCAAACACAAGTACCCAGCCGCTAATTACGTGCTGTAAAACAGCCCATTTCGAGTAGTAAACACAATGCTGATTACTTAGTCTGCAAAATACTCATGGGGTACATTCACTGAAGAAATTCAGACACGTATGAACTGAATAAACATTTACATTCAAATTGAATTCAAATGTGTGTTTGAATCCAACAGTCACGGGCTCACATTAGATAATCTATACTAATACACAAATAAATATTATCGTTCACAGCAGGTGGCCACCATTCAGGTGAATATGCGGTTTAATCATTACCTAATTTCACAAACACAGTTCCTATTTTTACGAAAGAAATGCACTGACAAGCTAAGCCTGCAAAAATGAACCAGGATGTGTTCGCCTCAGGTTTGCGCGTTCACTATTTTTAACTACTGTTTCCTTAAGATTCTAGTCACATGAGCAAGTCAGATTCCTACAAATGATAAGTTAGGAATGATGAGTTAATTGATAAATGTCCATTAGCTCTGGGTAGTAAGATCACATGGTTGGCTGGTCATATTCAACATAAGCGATGGCTTTTCCCTTTTCATGTCTTTGTAACAGGAAGTACAATGCAGAGCCAGGTCCCACTGTGAGTACATCCTATACAAATACCTGTGTGTGTGTATGACTCTGCATGACTCGACATGACTCTTCATGACTCTGCATGAGTTGTCACACTTCCCACAAACATCAGTGAGCACAAGTACACAGGTGATCTCATAGTGAAGGTGGAAGGCGCCCTGCCCATCCTTCTCCGCAGGTCTGAGACATTCTCAAACAGTGAGGCGTCAAACCCCCTCCAGCCTCTAGTTCCACGTGGCGGGTAGAGCTACGAGACGGCCACAGGATGTGAACCAATGCAACAAAGGCACATCTCTGAGGTGGCTCTCACATCCTCTACGAGAAACTCGACCGGCCCCTAAACTAAAGAACCGACGCTTTTGCTGGAAGTCTTCTACCTCCGCTCAAGTCAAAGAAAATTCCAGTATTTTAAAAGAGTCCGAAACAGAATGACTCACACAGGAGGGAGTGGCGTTATGTAACCTGGCCGTCAGATTTACCACAAGTTGCTTGAATGTCTGTCTCTACCACCCTCTTGCAGCGGCCTTTGAATTTTGCAAGGAGACGGCCACAGAACTCAACCGAACAACAGTTCAAGGCATCACTATTTCCACGGTGATGAAGTGTGAGCAGGAGCAGCGCTGTTCCCCGCACCTGAGGGTGACGGCCCTGGTGCAGCTCACCAGTGGGTATCACCTCCTTCCCCGCTCCATGTTCAGGACAACAGTGTCCGGCGTTCGTTTTGTGGACCTCAGACGCAGTTAGACTTCGAACCCAACTTCCAAAAATCTGCAAGTGAAATTATTAGTTGGCTTTTTATGTTTACACTATTATATTTATCTACTATCATGGTAGCTTTCATTGGAGAGCACAATGTTATCTTTTCAGGATTTACAGTTCTTGTTATTGGTGCATGAAGGTCTGTCTCCATGCTCAATGTTTATCTAGGTATTAGAAGTAGCAGTAAATTATGTCAAGCTTAGATACATGTAAATACTGATTTCCAAACTGCGTTCAAAGGTAAATGGGTTATCTGTACATTCATGAATGGAGCCCTGTGTCCCCCCTCCTAACGCCCGCCCGCTCCTGGGCTGAGGTTACCCCGGAGTAGGAGATGGGGAAATCCCGTTGGTCAGTGCTTCCTTGCTTTCCGGAAGCTTACTTTCACTGGAAATGCCCACTTCTTCCCTGATGGCTTTGTGGTCTTCCTCCAGAGCAGCTCCGGGGTCTGGCTCTCTGCATGCTCTCTGCTGGGATGCTGGAGACATGCAGGGCCGTCACCTTCCCCCGGCGGAACCTGCACAGGCTGACGGGACAGCAGGTTTGCACACCATACCCTGTAATGGATGTTCTTCGGTTTGTTCAGTTTTCATGACTGACCTTCTTATGCCTCCTGATTCCTCCGCCAGGTCTTGGTCCACGACGACTGCTTTGACGTGAGGCCCGGCCTGGATGTTCACGTCACACTGAAAACTATCCCCAGCTACTGCAACCTGACCTGGTCACATGACCTCAGAGTGCCAGGCAAGCGATGGCTTTGAATGCTGTGGGCTCAGGAAATAACAATCAACACAAAACCATTGCAAAGTCTTACCCTACTTCACGCAGAAACAGATTCCTTTTAGCAATAACCATCTTCTGTGACAGAATGAGTTACATGAAAGTCTGCCTAACTCTACCAAAGTGTGTGCGATCTCAGGAGCAAAGTTACTCATTTATACAGAATTTAATTATACAGTCTGCATCCCTGTTCTTTGTTTTCTCTTATTGCAGGTTGTAATAATGTAGACCTGAGGAAGAATGTTCCAGAATGCATCAGTAAGTCTCGGACAGACACACACTCAGATAAATGTCATAAATTCATAGTAATCTATCCTCTCAGACAAGAGAAACGTCACTGATTTTCTTATATGCACAATGTACTCACAGATAGAGGCAGAAAGTCCAATATAACACAAGATACAAGTGTTTCTAGATGTTTTGTATGTTGTCCAAGATACACATAGATAATTAAGTTATACACAGATAATTATATCACATTTAAGTCACATAAAAGGTCAGAAATGCGTGTTTCATGCATAGTTTTCATCGAAAAATAGGAATTAACTAGATTTTAATGTGGGACGTTCGGATTGTAAGGACAGGGCAGATGAAGGTTCACTTAAACGTGAGAGTCTCCCAGTCCTTTCTGTGCCAAGGATTCCAGCTGAAATGAGCTTCCCTCACCCGTTACAGGTGGAACCATAGAGTATGTGGTGGACTCGGAGCGACGGGAGCTGTCCGTCAAGGTCTCTGGGATCCTGGAGGACTGGGATTATCGCCTTAGGCTGTGTTTGAAGGGGTTCATCTGTAGAGGTACCAGCGAGCACATATTGGTGAGTTCTGCAGTGCAGTCTCCATACACACATGCATATGCACAGATACATATCATGTTTGTATGTTTTTGAAGTTAATTTAGGAGTCACACAATAGAGAGAGTGAGCCCATCTGGTTGGGGTCAATGGTTGAACTTTCATTATGCTTGTAATAGTTTATTTTACTTTCTACTTCCAGAAATTTATTCTGTAAAAAAATCTTTCTTTTCTTTGCCAGAAGCATCCGGTTTTGGTTTCAGGTTTGGTGCCAAAATAATTTAACCACAGTCAGGCAGAATAGAGTCAAACTGAAAGTCTGTTAATAGAGGAAACAGTGAAGTAATTCCTTTACAGAGCTTTGTCCAGCCACACTGACCGCTGACAAAATCCTCATTTATTAGCAATGAGGTTTCACCTTCCTAGTAGCTGTTTCACAAGTGTACCCGCTGGGAACGAAATTAGGAAACTTCATGAGTTCTACATTTTGTTGATCAAAAAAAACAAACGTTGAAATAGTGATCTTATGCCACTCGATTGCGGGTTTGATATCTGCAGATCAAGAAGGAGGAGCCCATGAAGAATGCGACGCTGCGCTATTCCCGGGCACTGCCCTGCCTGTGCATCGAGGTACGTGCATCACGTTTGGATTCAGAGCTGATGGTTACCAAGGAGCCGCACTCTCCCCGCTCACTGTGCTCACCACGGCGGCTCTGCTTCACAGGGATGGTCATCCATGCCCGACGCCCGCAGAACACAAGTCTGCCCGTTCAGAAACAGTGAGTTCCCCACAGTAACGACCACAGGGGTGAGACCAACCCATGAAGCGGCACGGCCGGGCCGGCAAACGTGGCAGCCTCCTCTCGAGATGCCACAGCTGCTGTAGCTCTGCAGTTGGATGTCCGCTTGGGGAGGTTAAGTCCATTCCAAGCAGAAACACTGCAGTGCACAACACCATGTAAATCTGCTTTACTAAACTAGTCACTCTTTAGTGGCTCATTATGTATGTTAGGAAAACTTTGTTCCAACTTCACAAACCCAGTCCATTTCTGCAAGCAGTGCTCATTAGATCGTCACTGCTAATTGATATTAGATCCAGTTGCTGCTCCTTTGCCTCTTATCCCAGGCAAAATAGGACAAGGACGGGCTGTCAGCTGACCTCCTCGGGAATTTAATATAACATCTAGGGTTTTTTAAAGTTAACATAACATATGTTCATAACTGTGAAGGCTAGTGACGGCCATCGGACACTGAGAACGGCGCCTTTCACAGATACGGGGGAGCTGTGGAAGGGGGTGACCTTCGACGCCGAGCAGGAGGCGCTGTCATGGGAACCGGAATGCCCCGTTGAGGCGGTGGTCTCACTCTGCCAATCAGCAGGAGAGCTGGACTGCCATGACCTTGCCAATTCCAGCCAAGTGGTCAGCTCAAAGAAGGTGTTGTCTTTCAATACTGCCATCTATAGAAAACGTATCCCTCCCTTCGCCTTCCTACTTTTATCAAGTTGCCGAATCGCTTCTTTCTTAGGTGGTGTTTTCCAAGGTTGACCCCCACCCAAAGCTTTGTGTGAAGGTAAACAAGGCACTTCACCCGAAATGTGACATCATCATTTCCAAAGCTCCTGCGGTGACTAAACACATTAACACAAAGCAGCACTTATTACCTGAAACTGCAAACATGCATCTGAATCATCTTTCCTATACATCTCCTGTTGATGTCCTGTGTTTCTCATCAGTTCAGCACGGCCGCAGGGTCCTGGGTTAAATGTCCCTTTGTAAGACAGAATGCAGGTACTGTCCACCGCTCACACCACACCAAGCAGATATTTTGGTTTAGTTCTCATCGTTCCGTATGAGTCCTTCGGATTTTACTAGCCAGACAGAATTGCCGTCATTTAAATTTGATCGATTCGCTGAATGATCATGGAGGGTCAGTACCAAGGAGTTAAAGTAGAGCAGGTATGGGCCCTGGTACAGGAGCAGCAAGCAGAGGTGGAAAGTTCAGGTCCAGAAAGTACAGATCCGGACCAAGAGTTTGCTTCAACCAACATGTTCAGCATGAAGAGTCACAGTCACCGAGTTCTCAACTGGCTAGTTGAGACAAAATCTTGGACTGGATTTGTGCTTTCTGGACCTGAACTACCCAGCTGTGGCATCAAGCTCTGATAGAGCCTAGGCTACCCTCTGTAATGAACTATGTATGTTGAGATCACATGCTGGAGCAGGAGAGGCAATGCAACCAGAGAAAGTAACTACAGGTTACTTATAAGTGCTTATCATCTGGTGTCGTAGCTAAGCTAGCATGCTAATTCATGGTAATGTGTGTTATGCTAGTTGTCGGTTTACTCATGCTATCAGGCTAATTCACTTTGATTTCCATCACAGAGCTAATATGGTGATTTTCTTTTGGAACCACTGCTCAGTGCTTGCGTTAATTCTCCTATAGCCTGGGATCTTACCTTCAGCTCAGTGGCACAACATCAAACAGTCACCGTGAGCTCCTACATCAACACCAAGGTGGTGTGGGGTCTGTGCCGGAACAGCAAGCCCATGGAATGTGACCAAGTCGCCTCACTCGCTGTGGTAATTCTCCAATCTAAAATCCATCCTTGGTGTTGGGGGAGATTTTACAGCATGTAATACATTACAGCATAACGGCTCATAGATTTCTCTGGAGAGTTCGGGAAATGACATTCACAGGAGAACAGGCGATACACAATTATGGTGCTTTTCCACTGGCATACAGTAACCAGGCCGTACCCAACCAGTACTGCGAAGAGAGACTAGTTACAGGGCAGTTCCAGCTCGTTTCGGTTTTTCCCTGCAGACCTATCAGCTCAGTGAAGGCGTTGGCGGGTTTGGAGAGCGGCAGTGATGCCAAACCGAGGAGACTCTTGTTTATTGTTCACACTGTATACATCATGACTTATTATGTGCTAATATCTGCTAGCTCGTCTGTGACAATCACCATGTTATGTTAGCATCAAACACTAGTGGAATTAGCATTTGCTTGCGTAAATTTGCATTACGAATCTATTCCGTTCAGCCATTCTATACAATACTCCTGGGTTCCGTACGGTCAATTGGCTCCATTGGACATGTACAGTACCATATGGACAGTATGGTGACACACACTGCTCTCAATCCATGCTTATGCACTTTGCACGCCAATTGTTAGTTTTAAAGCTTTTCTTTTTTAAATATTTTCGACCCACAATTGATCAACCAGCTGACCGTAGTAGAAGGTTGGACATTTTCAGGTTCCGAGTAATCAGGAATGAATCAGGAATGAATCACTCATTGCGATGTGTGATACTACTAATAATGAATAATACATAGGATATGCCCCTTTTCTGTCACATAATCCATACGCAGAACACCGGTATCTCTGTGAATTTCGGCCAATCAGATGGTGGTGATGCAACCAGCTGGGTTTGGTGAGCCCCTTGTGTCAGCGTGGGTACGGCTTGGGTACAGCTCACATAGTTTACAACGGAAACAGTCTCTTCGCGGTACGGCTTGGTTTGGTTCTCGGTGGCAGTGGAAAGGTGCCATTAGTCATTTGCAATGGCCTCAGACCATCTTAGGCACATACACCATCCATGTAATTATTTAACATACAGTATTTGTAAAAAATGATGCATGCTGTCTGAGCCCTTTATATAAATAAAAACTTACCATTTGATTTTTAAAGGAGAAATTTAAGCCTGTTGACATCAACCTAACCATGGAGACGTGCGGGCCAGGTGTCTGTGTTCAGGTACGTTTTCTCACCCAACATCAAAATAGCATCAACACGGGCCACCGGCTCCACAGCCAAACCTGATCACTGTCTTTGTGCTTCTCCTCTGAAAGGTGAGACGGACTGATGTCAACTTCTCCGTCCAAGTCCTTCACTGTAACTTCCAGTGCTGTGAGTAACAGGTTCTGTCAATGTCAGATAAAGTTGGCAGATTCAACATAAAAATCAAAACAATCTTGTATAGTTTGTGTCACCTGAGAAGCGTCACAAACTCATTCGGGGTCAAGGCCAGCAAGGACAATTCATTCTCAGCTTTTGTTGGGTAGTGACTCTGCACGTGACTCATGAAACACGGTAACTGGTATAAAAGTGTGTGTGTGTGAAGTACTGGGGGAATGTTCTGGAGGGATTTGTTGAAATTACAGGTTTGCAAGCAGTTTGGGATGTTTAAGGTTATAAGAACTGGTTGTGATCAGGTTTTTCTTTCCTGGATTTGGTTTAAACCAGGAACAAGCATTTCTTTGTTGTCTAGCCACTAACAATTAAACAGATGAGTCAAGCGAAATACTGCTCTCCTTTAGTTATTCAGAACATTTGCTAAGATGATAAATGACTTTGCTTGACATGTACCTCCAGACACCATGGTGCATTCAGGGCATTCTTCTTACAGGTTTGACTGGATCAATAGTTATCTTCTTCTGCTTTGTTCTTACAGCAGATGGCTACCCAGATGAGGAGAAAACTGGGAACGGCGCCCCCTGGCTACTGCCGAGCCTCTGCTGCCTCACCCTGACTTTACTCCTTGCATTTAGTGCATTGATGAGTTGGTGCCCTTTGTTGCTCTGTGACAAATGACAAAATGACAAAAATATTTAAGTGATCTCCCCCAAAAAAGTTTTAAGCATTTGTATTTTTTGTGAATATAATTTTAGGATTGGTCACTCTGTTACTGGCATAAGCTAATCTCTGTCTGCTTGATTCCAGTATTCAAAAAGCTAAATTAAGGAGGGGCCCTGGCAGTGCTTGTCTATGTGAGTGGCAGGTAGGTAAGCCAATTACAGTGCTTATTTCTGAGAGGGGTGGAGCCACTGAGAATGGTGATTTAGATTGAATAATTGAAGGTCTTGATTTTTTCCCCAGTCCTGTCCATCCTACATCCATGGATGACCCAACCAGCCAAGGACCGTGTGGAGTCTTTCACCCAGTTGAACACATCAGTTCCAAGTTCTGTATGGAGCAGTCGGAGCTTGGGTGGATTGTGGTGGCCCCCCCATCAAGGCTGTCATTGATCATAGTGATGAAGCAGGACTGGACATGGGCGTTGTCTCACATCTCTATGACCTGGCTCCTCCGAAGCTGACGGCTTGGCCCCGAGGACCTCATTCACAGCCGGGTTCCTCCTCACCCATGGAGGGGAGCCTTCCTCTACCTCGACAGTCAAGTGGGATCAAGAATATCCCAATTCCAGGCCCCACACAGCTTAGTGAACCTGCGCAGGAACAATGGAATTGGAGAAAGGTTGATATCCGAGGGACACAACTTAATAATTTACATACAAAAGTGAATTTATTGCAGGGAATCCCCGTTTCCAACACCCTGCAAATGAATGATATGATGTTTTACTTGCCATTTGCACACTTTCATTGGAATTCTTTTGTTTCTCTTTCAATAATTCCTTCTCCCTTTTTTTAAAGAACTGGTGGCACTGGTGAGTGGTGGCACACTGGTGATAGTGATGCTTGATGTGTGACCACAGGGTCAGCTGTCCCAGAGTATTTCGGGGTTTAGGGGTTTATGGTAGGATCCAGTGCAAGTGCGACTATTCTGCCCCCTGGTGATGCACAAATGGCTTTGCTCATGGCGTCCCCCAGAACCACCCCCCCCCCCCCCCACACAAACACACACACATATTTTGGACAGGTGTCCAACCCCATGGGGAATTCTGATGAACATTTTGATCACAATGCATTTTTTACCACCGATGCTATATTTAAAACTCAGCCTACATAGATATGTTTTCTCAATCAAAACATTTTGCCATGGACAGAGACTACGGAATCGTTTGTGTGTGCACGCACAGGCTGACGATGCAGTTCCCTGCCCACTTAGCATGCCTCCCGTTAGGCCGGGACGGTCTCAGTGCGGCTCCTGCTAACCGGCGAGTGTGTGACCGTGACGGCTGAATCTGGCACACCATCCGGCACAGGAGCCATTTCGCCATCGGTTTTGACCGCAGAAAGCATGGGGCTTTCTGCAGCTACGCAGTTTGTGTCTTCCCCTGCCCTCGCAATCCACCTGCTCTCCTTTCCCACACCACCGCCAGCCCATAACTCGCTGCCCCTATCTTTTACTATCCCTTTAAAACTTTTTTTTCCTCTAAAGCCCAGCTTACAGAGTACCTGGGTACAATCACGCGGCTGCGTTTACTGTCATTTACATGGGGAAGTGCTTTCAGTGGATTTCCCCTATGCCAGCCAAGGTTTTGTTTCCTTGTACTCTGTTTCCTAGAATAGAGAATGACAAACTGAACGCCATTGTCACGAACGAAGCGATCGGAAAGCGGGATACAACCTTCGCCGGTCTTCACCGGCTCCCTTACTTCCTTATCCACGGTCCCAGTAACTGTAACGGCACGACGGAGTAATTATGCAAAGTAAATTATTACGCTGCGTAATGGAACATAACCCAATAAATGTTTATGGTCATTCTGAGTGATGTTCACATTGATTAGTTTGTCCGGCAGCTGTATTATGAAGTAGTGTGCTTATTTATTATTTCACATTATCATCTCCAAAGGTACAAAGAAGGGTTTGGCATGAACTGGGTGAGTTGAGTACTTACTAACGCGGTGTAAATGGCTTTAAAGTAGCCGTGTTCTCCGGAAAACCGCACGGTACCTCACCTCCCTGGGCATTTCTGAGAAGCACCGGTTCACGAAGTGTGCGAGAAACCCGGCCATTATCATGCTACCGCCATCCTACAACTTCTCTTAGATTCACGGGGATCTTTGAGACAGCACAGCCGCTATAAGCGTTGGGGGATTGGAAGAACAATAACTTAAAATGTTACTATTAATATAAAGCAGTCCAAAGCCTAACTACTAACTAGGCTACCTTGAATAAAGTCTGCGACATTACTACAATACATAACAGTGCTCATTAATTGTATTACCGTTTTTGAATTATGTAAAGATTAAGTCATTAATCTTAATGTCGTCGTTAAAATGATTCAATGAGCGCCGCGTACTAAATTTATCGCCGCTAAACTCGCTTGCTATTTGGTGTTCTATACCGCCCTCTAGCGTCTAAAAGCCGCATTTCATCGTGACATTTCTTAGCCAGTAGAGGGCAGTGCTGCACCGGCGAAGGATGCCTTTCCAAGCAGACTCTCGTCAAGCAAAGAGGTGCAGGGAATCACTTGCGAGAGCATGACATACTTTGTGGTAGCTAATCTCGGTGCTTTTCGTTTCGTACTTTTTCTGCGCGTGTGTCTGAAAGAATGTGTGCATTTGTGAGTGAACATGCAGAAACAGTGTGTAAAAAACACTAAGTTCCAGGGATCAGCCTGCTTTTCGATGATGATTTCATATCCATTCTATTTTTTTTGTGCTGCTGACCACTGATAGGAACTGTGTGATATCAGTGGGGTATGTAAAAATCAGCCCCGCCGACCAGTCTCCCTGTTTCTGTTCACGACAACACGCCGTGTATTATATTTATTATTCCGACCTGCACACTTGCAGCTTGTATTTATTAATACAATACTGCATGTTACCACGTCCCATTTGCGTACAATTGCACTGCTGTCTCATCTTGTTTTATTTTTATCAGCAGAAGAGTGTTCCCGCTGCTGGCAGATTTTGCACACTGGTTTTTCAGCCACTCGTGCTCTTGCCACGTGCCAGATGATGTGACACAGTGGTTAGATTTGAGCAATATGATGGGGCAGGGTGGTGCAGCAGTGCAGGGAGAGTGTCACCATCACAAAGGGGCCCGAGTGTCACGTGTTCCCCGTGCATTGATGTCAGTTGTCCAGTAGAGGGTGCTCTCAAAAACTAAGCTGAAATGGTTTCTTTACTTATTAGTGGGCATGTCTCATGAACCCTTTCTTGGCATTGTCCTATACTAGAATACAGTGGGGTGGGGGGTTAGTCATCAGAGGCATGGGCCAATAGGACGCAAAGGCCAGATATGGGAGGTAGGGGGTATGAGGGAATGGTATAATGCCTGTGATCAGAAGGTCACTGGTTCAAATCCCATGGTCTTCAGAGTGATGTCACCGTTGGGCCCCTTGAGCAAGGCTCTTAACACCCAATTGCTCCAGGGACTGGCCGGCCTTTTTTTCTCAAACCGCATCCATCTGGACACTGGAACCTTGCTGACTTGGCTGGGATTAGCCCCAGTAAGGATAAGGGATGCACATGCATATCCCCTTGTCTTTGATGACCTCAGCGGCGGGAACTCCAAGCCGTTGCATGCCAATCGAGCGCACCTCTCGCTCCCGAACACCTCTACGACTACATGAGCTCGCCACTCAGGGTAACTGGCTGTCAGATGTGCTTTGAAGATGATGTGAGATTTCACTGCTAACCACATCCACACAAGTGCAGGCAGGAATCAGAGCAGGAATGACCTCATCCGCTATCCTGATGTGAACTTTCCTGTTAGTTGTCTCTGGCTTTGTTTCTGTTGGAGTAAAACATTTCACCCAGCTTTTTCGTCTCTATAAGTATGACCTCTGAGTCACTGAAACAACAGAATCTGAAATGAACTGATTTTTTTTCCATAAATGCATATACTGTAAGAGAATGTGAGCCGATAGACTCACTAGCCAGTTTATTAGGTACATAAACGCAACCAGCCACATCGTACGGCTGCAACCGAATACATACAGCACACAGACAGGGTCATCAGGTTTGGTTACTGTTCATCTGATTTACATCATTTTAAATGGGTGTGATCATTGGTGCCATACATGGTGGTTCCAGCGTTTTCCAGGGATTTTCACATACTACTCTAGAGCCTCAGCAGGCAGCTTTGTCTCCTCTGAAGCTCACAACCGTCTATGGAATGAACCGATTCACTAATACGTTGCTAATGGTTCTGACTTTTGAATAGCATAATGACAGAGGAACATGCAGTGACTCTCTAATACCACCCAGACTCACTGCCAGGTTCAGATTGATATTCACATTCCTCATGCTCCATCATCTCTCCTTTGATGAGGTCAGCCAGTGTGTGTTAGCTGTGGCTAATTCAGTTGAAAAGAGCAGGAACTTCTGTGGTGACATTAGAGATCGGTGTGTAGAATAGGAAGGGTAGTGTATATGTGTGTGTGTGTGTGTGGGTATACGGAAATCAATTCCATTAAGCTGTTCTATAGTACTTTTTTAAGTTGGAGGTTGGAAATGTTCAAGTTTCAAGTTATTAATACATTGTGATGTGCAATACTATTAATAATAATAATAATAATAATAATAATAACAACAACAATTAATAATGGATTGAATATGCCATTTTTTTCTTTCAGATAATCCATGTGCCAGGCACTGGTATCGACTAATCAGATGATGGTGACGTACCCAGTTCGGTTTAGGCATGTGTATGGGTACATAGTAACATACTGGGTACGGCTCACATTCTTTGCGATGGAAATTGCCAGTTTGCGGTATGGGTCTGGTACGACTTGGTTCTTGATGGCAGTGAAAAAGCACCATTAGAGTGACTGAATTGGATGGAAAGCGTCTTTATGCATACACACTGTTAGCATGTGCTCTGGGGGCTGTTGTTTTAACATTAACTGCTATTTCAGTCCTGTTTCTCTTCATGGTGTCCTCAAACCCTTTCTAAACATGTTTGTGGTGTCTGGCTATAACACAAAAGAGTGACCTCATATGACAACAATGTTCATACATTAAATGGATCGTGGAGATATGCGTTTAAAAAGAAGTTAACAAGTACAAAATGCTAAATGGACAGTATACTGGTTGATGATGTGCTTGTATGAGTGGATGAAAAGAAAATGAAGTGACTCTCTCAACAATAGACAAGACGGCATTCTAAACCCGGAACCTTGGCAACAGTAACGACAACGAACTATTCAAATAGCAAACAGAAACGGAAACCAAGTTACATCAGTCATAAAATGGAGCTCAGATGTTACCCACTGTCCCAGTCTTCTTAAATCCCTTTCTCAATCCCGCCCCCTAATGGTGGGCCCACCGGCAGGTCGCTTCTCATTGTAAAATGCTTATAATGGAATTCCAACTTGTGAACTCGGAGGATTCGACACAACTCCAAGCTCAGAATCCAAGATGGCTGCACCCTTGATCAACAAGAGTTAAAGCTGTAGTTTTATACTGTTTATTAACACATATGTTTTATTAGTGGCTCATTAAATCGGTCGTACAAACCATACTGTCCAACTGCTATCCGTGGACATGTTGCTACGGAGTTTTTTGTGCACAACACAGCGTAATATGCTGTTATCAACTGATATTACCAACAATGCCTAACAATTAATTGGTCTAAGCCTTGGATTAATTGGTCTTGCATAGTTGGACAATTGTTGGATTTAAGGTAGTCTGGGCCAAATGTAAGTAAACAGAGATAAAGCCCATTTATAATTAAGTACCTTAAATCCGACAAGATGTCTGGCTAAGCAAGAAATCTTGCTTTTTGAAACAGGTCTTGGTTTTGCTAAATGGCTTTCCGACTTGTACTGGAACGCGTTTAACTCGTGTGTGACGTCATTCCCAGTTCCGAGTTCCGACCTGCGAGGTGAATGGAACGCAGCATTGGTAACGGAGTTCAATTGCTCCCACGCTTTGGCCCATTATAGGGCCAGCTGACCAGTATGGAACACAGCAAATCAAAGTAGAAATAAATTCCTCACCTGCAATCAGAAGCGCCCATATGGAGAACACGAGCACCGGTGCAACTAATGCAACTGTGATCATAATGTGTTTTAACAGTAGTGACAACTTAGGTGTGTCTTTAAATTAGTTGGGCTGCTTCCCTTAAGCTGTGCACCACAAACCAGACCAGTTGCATCCATGACACACTTGCTCTTATAAGACCTCGCATCGTACTCGAAACATTTTCCACAGTGTGCTTTCACATCTGCGTCCAACTCCCATTTCCCCACAGGAAAAAAAAAATCCATTTCATTCTATTTTAGATTTAAAGAAAAAATATAAACTAAAAATAAATAATTGCCTGTTATTCATTTTCATATGTGTCTGAGGAATATTTATAAAGGGGTGGGCACTTTGAGGTTTTGTCTGATGTAAACCAGTCCGTGGACATCAGATGGACAGGATGGCTTACCCTGGATGATGAGGTGATCCGGTCCATGAACATCAGATGAACAGGAGGGCTTACCCTTGAGGATGAGGTGTTCTCAGCACTCATCGGTAGGAGAACTAACTGCCCCCCCCCCCCCTCTTTTGGATGAGATAAAGGTTTCCCTCAGAGATGCCATTTTAAATCCAGTCGATCCCACAAGTTAGCATAAAGACACAGAGGATTATCTGCAAATCTGGTTAGTGTGAGGAGTGATATTGTTAATAAGTTCCTCAGGAGTGGTAAAGAAAGCACCTTGATGTCAGGCCAGCGAGAGTCAGCGTCTTTGGGTTGATGACGCCGCTGCCTGCCGCGGTCCAGCTGGAGTGAGTCTGCCTGCTCTTTGGCATTCCTGCACCGAGCGAGAA